AGAGATGACTTGTGGGTATGAGGCCACCTTCAGGGTCCTCTTGCTAGAGGGAAGGAGGCTCAGGAAGGCCAGGCTGGCGTGGGGTTTGCACAGCAAGGCCTCAAGGCCAACACTAGGCACCGGAGGTGGGGTGGGGCTCTGGCTCCAGGGCGTCCTTGGGACATCATGGGGTGCCCAGGTGAATTATCCCCTGACTGCTCCTACTCTGACCTCCAGCTCCTGCCTGGGGGTTCGGACACTTCTTGAACTCTAATATTTGGGGTCTTCAGGAACACCCTCAGCTCCAGGGTTCAGCTCAACCAGGCCTGGCCAGCGTCCTCAGGCCCTGCCCATGGCCACGTGGCCAACGGGATTTCCGCCATGTTTGGGGCATGAATTGACAAGTACCCCATTGACGGGGCGGGGGGAGGGGGTGGGCAGGGCACAAGCCTCCCACTGTGCCGTGTCCCCACCCTCCCCCGTCCCCCTGGGACAATGGCAGAGACTCAGCCAGCGACCACAGCTGGTGGGGTGGGGGTGCATGAGCACGAGGAGGGGTGGAAGGGAGGGGTCCAGGGCGGAGGGAGCACCTGGGCCGTGGCCTGTCCTCATCCGCACCTGGCCTGGGTCCCCCTCGGCATCTCTCCTGCCCAGTTGGGTGGCCTTGAGGGAGGAGGGGCGCGGCCAGACCCCAGCCCACCCGGGGAAGGGGCAGTGTCTGGCTCCTGTTATAGGCAGGTAATAAAGGGCCTAATAAATGAAGGCCAGCTGGACGCACAGCCCAGAGGGGCGGAGTGGGGCCTGGCGGAGGCCGCCCTCCCCATGAACCCCCATCACAGCCTGACCTGGCAGGGGTCTCCGGGTCCAGGCAGTCTCCTTCCAGTCTCCCATCTGCCATATTTCTCAGCCATCCCTGGACATTTATTGTGGGCCTACTGTGTGTGCCAGGAGACTCTAGCGGAACAAATATTCAGCTCCTCTGGTGGCTTAGAGCAAGGAGCTGTGCTACCATCCTGAAGGCACACAGTTTGAATCCACCAGCAGCTCCATGAACAGATGGGCAATCTCCTCCTGTGCGATTTACTGCCTCTGGAAACCCGATGGAGGGTCACTTGTGGGTCGGGTCAGACTCAATGATACCCAACAACAACAACCCAAAAGAAGGTGTCTTGACCTACCTGGAGGCACTTGGTCGTACAGCCTGGTGGTCAGCTTCCGACAATTCCACCCCGGAAGGCTCCACAGGATGCAGTTCCGTGAGGCGCCCAGGGGTGCCCTGAGCCAGAGGGGAGCCACTGGTATCGGTGTGGTTTGGGGCCCACTGTGCTCTTAGCTGCTTCCACCCAGAGAGGCTTGGGGCCTGACGCCCACCCGGTAGGCTCTGGGCTTGGTGGCTGTGGCTGTGAGAATTCAACATAAGGAAGCAGTGGAGAGACATGTGGGGAACTGCAGCCTCTGGGTGGTTGGGGGACAGGCACCCCTACCCTGTGAGCTCTGTGCCAGGCCTGATGAGAGAGGGGAAGAGAGACCCCCCCCCCCCAGCAAGAATGGAAGAGTGAGGCCTCTCGGTGATGTTCCCTTTAAGCAGCAACCTAGATTGTGAACTGAGATCAGCTGGAGGGTAGAGAGGCAGAAGAACAGCTTGTGCAAAGAGCCTGCGGTGCAGGGGCTGTTTGTCCTGTGCTGGGAAGGAGGCTGGGGGTTGGGCCAGGGGGGAGCTGCAGGGAGGGAGGCTGGGCCAGGAGAGGAGGCTGCAGGAGGCCTTGAACTTCAGAAGGGGTCTTGGTTCACCCCAAGCCGTGGGAAGTCATGGAAAAGTTGAAGAAGGGAGAGTGGGCCTGCTGGTCGGTGCCCTCCTCATGTCACTTTCTGTTTGGGGATCATGGTGGGCACAGTCTCCCCTCTGCCAGGAGAGGCATTGAGGGTCAAAAGTGTGCACCCTATGCTTAGCTTCCCTCCTGACCACCAGCCACCGTGAGGACGGTGGTCATGTTTCATGGAAGAGGATGACTCCCAGGAGTGTGCCCACGAGTTCTCCCCCGCTTGGATTCCTGGGGTGCTGCCCCAGCTTCAGGAATCCCCTGGTTCTGGTCAGCCCCATCCCACCCGCTCCTCCTGGCATTGAACAGTTAGAAATCGTGAGTAGGGCTCATGGGCAGTGAGGGCTTCTGCCTGGAGGTGACCCTGCGGTCAGCAGCGTGAGGAGAAGAGCGAGCTAGGTCCAGGGCCTCTGGGATGAAGGAGAGGGTGTGGGCTCAGGGTTCCTCAGAGGGCCCCCCAACGTCTCCCTCCCTGCCGGCCCACCCCCACCCGGCCCCCGCACTTCCTTCTCCCCTCCTCTCCCCTGTCCTCCCGTCCGTCCACCCGGCCCCTGGCACCGGAGGGTCCCTCCTCCCCCCAGCCACATCTGGTTCTTGTTAGGGTCTCCCAGGATGCCTCTGCCTGAGGCCCCCCATCCCCGGGGGAGGTGGGCAGGAGGATTAGGGGCGATTAGGAGTGCTCCTGGCTGGGGAGGAGACCGGGAGGGGGCTGGGCCTGTTATAAATAGAAAGACCATGACGGCATCAGCTCATCACTCACTGCAAATTCCAAGTTCAGGCTCAAAAGCCTGCGGTTAGCGGCTGGCGTGGGGGAGATGCCCTCCACCCTGCGCTCAACCCTCCCTCAGGAACCCCTCAGTCCCTCAGGCAGGCCAGTGCAGGTTGGCCAGGACAGGAGGGCACAGCAAGTACCCACCACCTTCCCCCTGGAGTCAGGCCTGGAGTGAGTCCTGCTGGCTCTGTGTCTTGGACAAGAGACTTGACCTCTCTGAGCAGCGGCGATGATGATACTAACAGATCTGTAGGCCATCTGAGTGTGTGAACGGCATAAACTTTACAGAGCACTTTGGATCCGGGTGGGGGCCGTGGTTGAAGCTCAGTGTGGGCCATTGCCACCCTCTCTGTCATTAATTACTGTCACCACTATGGCTTGAGAAGACCCGCTGAGGCATCATTGTCTCTGCATCATTGTCACCGTGATGGCTGGGACGATTCAGGGACGCCTGGCCCATAGTAAACACCTCTGGCTAATGCCCTTCACTCGGGTGCGGAGTTTTTGTTTGTTGTCAAGTTGGAACTGACCCATAACTTATGCTCCAACAGATTCCCGCCGCCCCCCCCCCCAGAGGCTGCAAATCACACGGGAGGAGATTACCCACCTGTCTCCCACAGATCAGCTGGTGGAATTGGGCCCTGGACCTTTGGGTTGGAGCTCTAGTGGCCTAGTGGCGAGAAGCTGTGTTACAATCCCAAAGGCACATGGTTCAAATCCACCAGGTGCTCTGTGCGAAGGCTGGGCAGTCTCTTCCCGTGTGCTTTGCGGCCTCTGAAAACACGCTGGAGGGTCAGCGATGCACAGCAGGGGCTCCATAAGCAGGAACTAGAGTCCTGGGGTGATACAGACAGCAAAGGCGTGTAGCTGGTGATGTTAGAGCCTTGATTCCACCGAGTTCTGTGGTGACACTGTGCCAGATGTGGGGGTGTAGTGAGTCTGATTTCGGGGTGTGTGTACATCACAAGGAGGATGCAGTGGGGGCTCTGAGCAGAGCTGGGCATCCTTGAACCTGGGTATGTCCTGACCACACAGGGCTGTGGACGGTCACTGGTGGGGCTTGGGAGGGTAAGCTGGGGTGGGGCCAGCAGGAGGGCCTTGTCCAGCCCCGGCCGGGCCCTCGTGACTCCCATAAGGGTTTAGCCGCTCGTTAATCACCTAAGCAGGACTCAGCATTCTTGAAATGCCGGCCGGGGGCCAGGGAGAGGCCTGGGCTGGGGGCTTCCGGGGACCCCAGGGCTTTGGGATGGAGCACTCCAGCTACGCTTTCATTTTTGTCTATGTCCTCCTCACAAGAACCCTGTATTCCCTTCCATGCTCCCATTTTACTGACGAGGAGACTGAGACTCAGAGAGGGTGTGTTGCCCACACAAGGTCACTCTGCAGGGAGAGGCCACTGAGCCTGGATTTGTGTCTGGCCCTGTCCAGGCTGTCTTCCCAGTGCCCACCAGGGGCCGGGCACACTACGCAGACCCCGAACTCGGGGGCAGAGGCCTGTGGCAGGGACCCTCCTTCTTCAGTAGGGCTGACCAGAGGAACTGGCCCGCCCAGGTCAGCCATGAGGGTGGGGCTGTCCTCCACTATCGGGGTTGACGCATCTCCCACGTCAGCCCCCTTATCGCCCTGCCCTCTCGCTCCCCCCACAAGGTGACCCCAGGAGGGGAAAGGCCAACGCCTCCCCTTCTCCTCTGCCAGTGTTGGGCCAGGGCCAGTGGGGAGGACCCAGGAGAGCTGGGAGGCGCAAAGCTGGCCTCCGTCACTGTCCACAGTGTGACCCTGAGAAGCTCGCACCTCACAGGGTCTCTCTCTGGTCCTGCTCTGAGCATTGGGTGTTAAGCATCCCGACCCCCCCCACCATCCCAAGGGTGGTGGCCGTACCTAGTGTGGGTGGGGTGGGCCAGTCACTCCCAGTTCTGCCCTTCTCCCTCTCTGTATTGTGGCCCTGAGGTGGAGGAGCGCCTGCTGTCCACGGCCCCTGAGGATGTGTGGACCGATCAGCAGGCCCCCTGGAACTGACTGTGGAGAACTGGATAGGGCAGGCGAAAATTGGGGCACCCACTGAATACTCAGCTCAGCCAAGCCCCTCATTGCCTCAGCACCCCATAGGGCGGGGACACAGCCACCGCAGCTTACCAAGGAGAGGAAGGACACATGTGCCACAGCTAGAAAGAGGCAGCCTGTCCACCCCGAGTCTGCGCGACCCCGAGTCCGTGCGACCCCGAGTCTACGCTCTGGCCCCTCCTCGGACATTAGTGGCTCTGTGGGCAGGGGGGATGCAGCGGCACTTCCCAGAGAGGGGTCAGGGGTGGGTGTGCATTGAAGAGGAGCTGGTGGCATAGATTTTGGAGACACAGGCTACAGAGGGGTGGAGGGCTGGACCTCGAGGGCTCAGCTGACCCCGTCTCTCATCTGCATTCCCCCAACCCCAGGCCATGACATCAACGGCGCCCTGGAGCCCTCCAACATAGACACCAGCATCCTGGAGGAGTACATCAGCAAGGAGGACGCCTCGGACCTGTGAGTTCCTGCCTGCGCCCCAGCCCCTAGGCTCCACTGCACCCGTGGTCAGATGCGGCCCCACCTGTGCATGGGGCCCTGTGGGAAGGGGGCAGGCAGGGGCCAGGTGGGTCAGCGCTGGGCCCTGGCTGGGCTGAGCCTCACTCTTCTCTGCAGCTGCTTCCCCGACATCTCGGCTCCTGCCAGCACTGCCTCCTACCCCCACGGGCAGCCAGCCATCCCCAGCTCTAGTGGGGTGCACCACCTGAGCCCCACTGCAGGTGGACCCTCCCCGGGGCGCCATGGCCCCCTCCCACCCCCGAGCTACGGGACCCCTCTCAACTGTAACAACAACAATGGCATGGGTGCTGCTACGAAGCCATTCCTGGGGGGCCCCGGGCCCCCGATCAAGGCAGAGCCCAAGGCTTCCTATGCTCCAGGGTGAGTAGGATGAAGGGCTTCTGGGGCAGGCAGGGCCTGGGCTGAGGGCAGGTTCTCTGGAGAGGCAGGGGCCGTGGGCCTGGGCTGGGCTGGGAAAGCCCAGGATGGTAGGGCTGCCCTGTGGGCAGGTAAAGATAGAGGGGGGACTAGGGTCAGGCGAGGGGGACCCCAGGTTTGGTCAGTGCAATAGGGAGCTGTGGAGGGTTGGCATTAAATGCATGAAGAATCAAAGCACTGCACATAGACTGCTCAGGTGAGACGCGCACACACGCAGAGGCCCGCACACACTCACGGAGTCACCCTGTCCTTCACGTACGCGTTTAGCTGGCATTTGCTATGGCCACAGGGAGTTGGCCGGTCCCTCAGATGTGGTACCCAAGCTTTATGGAGCCAGAGGCCTCAGGGCTCGGCCTGTCAAGCTCATGTCCCCTGGGCGACCACACCAGGAACCTGACCCAAGAGCTGAGCCAGGGCCTGGCTTTGAATAAAAGTCCCAGGTGGGACCCCAGGGCAGCCCAGAGCATGAGGGGAGGGGCCAGCGATGTGGGCATTGGTGGGCTCTGCAGAGAGTATCAGGGGAGATGCCCGTTCCCCAGCTCGGGGCAGGAGAAAGGGACCCTGAACTGGGTGGAAGAGTAAAGTGTCTGGGACCCCAGCACTGTCGCCATGTCCTGGCTTCATCGTTGGGGCCCCATTTCCCAGCCGTTCTTGCCTTGGGAACTTCATCCTCTGTTGGGGCCTCAGTTTCTTCCTCTGTGATGTCAGTCTCCAAGTGGCTTCTCCTCTGAGTTATGGTGGAAATGAATAGAGGAAGGCCCCCTGGGGGTGATGCAAATGGTTTTCACTCAGCTACTAAATGAAAGGTTGGGGGTTCAAGCCCACTCACCCCCTGGTGACTTGAAAGCGCAACCTGAAAAACAAAAGAAAGAAAAGAACGAGCAGCCTGGTGATTTGCTTCCATAAACGTTGTTGTTGTTGTTGATTGCCGGCAAGTGAGCAGGGCTCATAGTGACCCTGTGAGCAAAACACCTCCAGCCTTTCTATAACTGTCGTCGTTTATTGAAGTCCGTGGAGTTTCCAGAGGCATGTTGTTTAGGAAGTGGATGCCCTTCCTGCTGAGAAAAACATCTAGGAGCTCTGTGACGCGGCAGATTGCCACAAGTTTGAACTGATGATAGCAGTGATTGTTTGTTTAAGGGCAGAGGATGTGCTAAGTGGCCACTGGCCACTGATATACCATGTTTGTGCTTGAATAACATGCAGCCACGTGGTTTTTGTGGGTTGTGAACCTGTGGTCTGGGTGCGCGTTATATGGGTATAACATTATATGCAAACACATGGTGTCCTTCAGGCTCTCTAGCTTTCAGCAAAGGCATGGGGGGCCGTGGATGCTGGACTGGAGGTGTCGGGGCTGCTGCCTCACTGGGGTAGACTGTCTGTTTGAAGCTGGGAGGTGTCTCTAAGCCACAGACCCTTGCAGGGTGGAGGGAGGAGGGTCCCCATGTAGTAAACACCTGCTGAATATGGCCTCCTATCCCTTGAGTCTACCTGTATGGCCTTACCGGCGGTTCCCAAAAACCAGCTCCTGGGAGGCTGACCTTGGAAGAACCTTCCACTGCCCCTCACAGGAGGGTTCTAATGGCACACAGGCTTAGATATCAGAGCCTGTTCCAGGGTCACAGTGGGACTCTGTGGCCAAGGAGCTCCCTGGCAGGGACCCCAGCTGAGCCCTGCTCCCAGCTAGGCCTGCTCTAGGGGATAAACAGGACAGCTTCTGCCCCAGATCCTGCAGGCTGGTGGGGTGAGAGCCGTGACCCAGCAAACCCCCAAACAGACTTTGTGAAACTGACCAGGACCTCTGCAGGACAGAGTGTGTGATGCAGGGTTCAGGGCTGTGCATTGTGGGGACTGGAGGGTGGCAAGGAGCTTGGCACACTGGAGACATCATAGGCCATTGTTGGGGCAGCAGGTGAGCCAGTGGGGATGGTGGGCAGTGGGGACTAGTGTCCCTGTTTCTCTCTGAGTTGTCCTTGCCCATCTCATGGGGTCCAAACCACAGCTCGTTGTCCAGGGTAAGGTCACATCCACAGCAGCTCGACAGCCTGCCTGGGAGCTTGGTGGTCTCTGCAGATGTGGGACCAGGCATGCAAAGAACAGGCCCTTCCCAGAGCAGGCCCCTTCCCGGGCGAGCGCAGGGTTCACGCAGGACGTGCTGACCTCTCAGGCTTGAGTTTGTTCTTTGGCTCAAATCACTGATAAAGCTTGTGAGAGAAAGAAAAATAAAGACGCCGGGGCCCAGCGGGGCTGGCACACTGCCCAGACCACACCTGTCCCCTGGCAGAGCAGCCCCCAGGTGACCCACAGCTTCAGCCCCCAGGACCCTGCAATTCCTGGAAGTAGCTTTTTTGGTGGACCCAGGAGTTGAAGAGCAGGCCTGGCCCCCCCTCCAGGAACGGAGTCCTCGTGCCATTGGCAGGAGCGTTGTTATAGGCCCTCAAGGGCCTGGTGTGCCTGAGGACTCCTGGCAGAACCCCGAGACCCCCACCTACAACTCAGCTGCCAGGCACCCCAGAGGGGGATGCAGAGAGATCCCCGAAGAGGAGGGGATCTTGACGCCCCAGCCTCAGGCCTGTGGGAAGGGGCCAGCCCCAGCCGGGCCCTCCTCGTTCCCAGCCTGAAGAGGTGCAGGGACCCAGCTGCCCACCCAGCGCCCCTTCCTCCCTCTGCAGCCCCCTGCCGGACTCGCCCCCAGACTCAGGCTCCGAGGCCTACTCCCCCCAGCAGGTGAATGGTGAGTTGCTGGACACGCCCTCCCTGGGTCCTTATCGGGAAGGAGGGAGGAGGAGAGAGGGAGGGGGCTGTGGCCGCCAACAGGCTGAGATTATCGCTGGTCAAATACTCCGGGGTGCTGACCATTGTTCCCCACGGGCGGGTGGGGAGCCAGCCCGGCCTCGCGAGTGTCCGGCTGGTGATGCCAGACTGCCTGCGCCATCATGGACGCGCCCTATGGCGGTAAGTGGATGGCTGGGGGAGGCCGCAGGTGCATCCAGAGCTCAGCCACGCTGCTGGCTGGCCCACCCCACCCCAGGAGGGTCTTGGGGTGCAGGAGCCCCCAGGTGGCCAGGAGCAGAATGACAGCAGGCAGCCAGCTCCCGAAGCCAGGAGAGGGGTCAAGAGTTCTGTTTATCTTACCAAAAACATCCCTGGAATGCTTCCTGGGGAACAAAGGGAGCAGGCCTCTCCCCCCCCCAGGCTGGGGGTCTGGCCGCTGAGAGCCTGAGAGAGGGGCTGCTGGAGAGAAGAGGGCGTCTCAGGCCTGGCCAGGGGTCCTGAAAGACTCCTTCCTCAAGACTAGAGGAGGACAAGCCTGGGAGAGACTGGGTGGGATGGAGGAAGGGCCACCTGCCTCTGGGCCGGGTCTTGGGATGGGATGGGGTGAAAGGCCCCCCCATTGCCATTGGGCTGGGTCCTGAGATGGGATGGGGTGAAAGGCCCCCCCATTGCCATTGGGCTGGGTCCTGAGATGGGATGGGGTGAAGGGACCCCCCCCCCCGCCCCTGGGCAGGGCCTTGTTTTTTTCTGCCCAAGTTCAAAGTGCTCAGCCCTCCTCCCGGCTGGGTTGGTGGGAGAACAGCCCCCAGGCTTGGATCAGAAGATGGTGGGATCCTGGGGGAACTCAGCAAGAAATGTCTCTGATGCCCTCCTTTCTCCCTCCTGCAGACCCCCACCTCCTGCGCACCCTCACCCCTGAGACCCTGTGCCATGTGGGGGTGCCATCCCGCCTGGAGCACCCACCACCCCCTCCAGGCCACCTGTCAGGCCCCCCGCCGCCCCCGCCACCCCCACCTCACTACCCCGTCCTGCAGCGGGACCTATACATGAAGGCCGAGCCCCCCATCCCCCCGTACGCTGCCATGGGGCCGGGGCTGGGGCCCCCCGAACTCCACCACAGCCAGCAGTCCCAGATGCTGCATCAGCTGTTACAGCAACACGGAGCTGAGTAAGGCTGGGCAGCTGCCTCCCAGGGCAGGGCACGGGGTGGGAGGCAGCAGCAGGGTGGGGGTGGAGATGGGGCTGGGCTGGGGTCTCTGTACCCAGCACATACTGGGGTTCCCACCAGCGCCGATTCTCACAAGGACCTGTGTGGTGGATAGTACCCCTTTCATCACAGATAGATAAACTGAGGCTTGAGCAGGGGAGGATTGAGTTGTCCAGGCCCTAGAACCAGGCAGGGGCAGAGCCAGGGTGTGAAGCTGGGTCTGTCGGCCTTGAGGTCTGTGTCCTGACGATCACTGCAGCCCTCGGATTTCTGAGGTTACGGGCCTGGCCCAGAAGGCACACTCCAGCCCCAGTCTGCATAGATGTCTTGTGTGTTTCCGTTCATTGGGATTTAATGAAGGATTGAAGTCAAGGAAAGACTCCCCATCCCAAACTGTGTAAACCAGAACAGAAGGGGTGCTGTGCCCCCTTAGGCCTTCTGACCTCAGACCCAGGAGACTGCTCTTTACAGGACCGCCCCTACCCCACCCCTTCAGCCCAGTATAGAGCTGAGAAGAGGGGTGCAGGGATGAGGGGACAGTCAGTCAGGGTAGACATAGGCCCTGCCTCCCTGGAGTCCACGGTCAGGGGTAGGGACAAGTGCCAGGAACAGAAGGTGACCACACAGATGGAGGGGGCAGCACGTGAGGGTGTCCAAACTGCTAGGGAGAATCAAAAAGGAAAGCCCAGGGACTGCCTGTAGGAGGCAGCCTCTGAGTGGGGAGAGGAAGGGACAGAGCTCAGTAAGAGTGAGTTCAGGGGGGTGACATGGCTGAGCCGGGCCCCCACGACTCACACTCATACCTCTGTTGCACCCAGGCTCCCTACGCACCCCTCCAAGAAGAGGAAGCACTCTGAATCACCCCCCAACACCCTCAATGCCCAGATGCTGAACGGATTGATCAAACAGGAGCCCGGGACCTTGACGGCCCTGCCCCCTCACCCTGCTCGAGCCCCATCCCCACCCTGGCCTCCTCAGGGCCCGCTGTCCCCAGGCCCCAGCTCCTTGCCCCTCAGCATCGCCCGGGTCCAGACACCACCTTGGCACCCTCCGGGCGCCCCCTCACCAGGTATGTGGCTAGCCAGATCCAGTAGTCCTTCTAGTGGGGTCCCTGGGCCAAGGGAATAGGGTCCACAGGGGCATTCCCTCCCTCCAGGACTCCTGCAGGACAATGACAGCCTCAGTGGCTCCTACCTGGACCCCAACTATCAGTCCATCAAGTGGCAGCCGCACCAGCAGAACAAGTGGGCAACGCTCTATGACGCCAGCTACAAAGAGCTGTAAGTGACGGGACCACTCCTCTGGCCACCCCATCCCAGGGTGCTCTAGCCAGGCCCCCCCAGCCCCCCAGTATCTAGGACCTGATGTCATAGTCCTAGAGCAGGCCCGGGCGGAAACGCAGTACAGTATGGCCATGTTTTCTGCAAGAGGTGCTGCGGGCTCCTACTCCTGGGCCAGACCCAGGCGGTCTAAGGAGCCCGAGAGAGCCAAGTCCGGAGAAGTGGGTGGATGGGTATTTTCCAGCTTCTCCTCCCCCCCACACCCTCCTCCTCCTTCTCCTCCATTCCAGGAAGGTAGCAGGAAGCTGAGTGTAAGCGAGGCCCTTGAAGGGAGGAGGAGGAGGGAGGAGGCTTAGGGCCGAGGCTGCGTGGACCTTCCTTCCCTCAGCACCTGCATGGGTTCCAGGCGCCAGGCGAGAAGCCCTGTGGGCAGACAAGACCACTCCCCTCACTCCCCAGAAGGCCAGTGAGTGGGCAGGAGGATGCCGCCCTTCACGTCACTGTGGACACTGGGCACGCACAGGGTGGCTGTGCTTGGGCCCTCCTAGAGGTTGGCACCCTGAGCTGGGTGCAGCCCTTGCCTAGAAAGCCCTGGGGCTGGTCTGGGTGCTCCCGCTGCTCTAGTGGCCAGTGGATCTCAGCAGCTCTTGCCAAGGACGAGACAGGTCTCTGGAGCTAGCTCTTGTGGTCTTGAGAGGAAACCCCCCAGCTCTTAGCCCAATCTCCTTGGGCCAGCCCGGCCACCGCAGACCAGGAAGCTGGGGGCTGAGCCCCTTCCTGGCTGGGGGCTGTGCTTGTTCAGGTGGCTAAGTGGAGACCCACTCAGTCTCTGTAGGTGGAAGCCAGGCTTCTTCCCACAAGTTTGTAAGTGGTCAGGCATCGGGTGGTCCTGTCAGCACGGGGGCACTGGGGTGTCAGAGATGGGTGAGACGAGCAAGCCACATGCCAACAGTTGTCCCTTCTCTTGCCACTTAGAGATGCCTCCAAGAGGGACTAGGGACACCATCCTCAGCAAAGATGGGCCAGCTGAGGCCGAGTTTGAGCCCAGGCCACCCAGACATGCCTACCTCCCTAACTGGGCAGATAACGTCAGAATGGAGGTGTCTGAGGGCTTGAACAAGCTGGTGGGCCGTCGGCAGAGCCGGCGCCTGGTTCCACCATTTCCATAGCAACCAGCTGTCAGGAGCCGTGAGGCTCCCCAGGCACAGCCCCTTGCCCCTTCTCTCATGAGGGAGGGGGGTTTCAGGCAGGGCTCTGGGAAAGGGCCAAGTGGGGGGCCCTTCCCCCATCACCAGGGGGAGGGCAAGGTGGTGGCCCTGGGCCCACAGAGGAAAGCACACGGGCTGAGGATGAGGTGGTCTCCTGAGCTTGAATCTTCTCAGAGACTCAGTTTCCATTTCTGAGAAGTGGGGTCAGCCCCATGGGTGGTTTGGGGCTGTTGGAATACAGGAGTGGAAGTTGCTTTGAAATGTGGACAAGTGGCAGGACCCGACATTCTGGGCCAGCTTGGGGGGCCCCCAGGTGAGTGCTGTCCCTCTCCCCAGGCCTATGCTCACCTACCGCGTGGATGCCGACAAGGGCTTCAACTTTTCTGTGGGCGACGACGCCTTCGTGTGTCAGAAGAAGAACCACTTCCAGGTCACGGTGTACATCGGGATGCTGGGAGAGCCCAAGTACGTCAAGACACCCGAGGGCCTCAAGCCCCTTGACTGCTTCTACCTGAAGCTTCACGGAGTGAAGGCAGGTTTGAGGGCTCAGTAGGAGGGTCTGGCAGGGGACTAGGAAGGCTGGGGGCACTGGGAGACCCCACAGGGAAGTGAGTGTTTGTGTGAGGAAGAAACTTCCACCCACAATGGCTGGCTCTGCTCCTTTCTTCCTGCCCCCCTGCCCACTCCCCCACCCCTCATCAACCTCCCACAAGCTCTGTTCTTCAGCCCCCTCACCCACACTCCGTTTCCACCTCTCTCCTGTGATCCCCAACTTCATCAACTTTCTTGGGCCTTAACCAGGCTGCCGATGGCCCCTCAGCCCTGTGTTCCAAATGAAGTTCCCTTTGAACTTGGCCTGTGCCCCTAGGGTCTTTTGCACTTGGCCTATACCTCTGGGCTCCCCTTGGGTCTCTGGAAGTCTGGGGGTCTCTCCTCATGACCTCATGGCACTCCTGTCCTTGCTTTTCTCTCTCCAGACGTGACTTGATCCCACTGCACCCCTCTCCCCTCCTTGTTTGAATGATCACACCCACTTCTGCCTCGTTCTCCGCCTGAGCCAGGGCTGTTAGGTGTCCACACGCTCTGTGTGTCCACGTGTGCAATGCAGAAGTGAGGGAGTGGTGTGGTGTGAGGGGCAGAAGCGGGGTGTGAGCATGTGTGTGGAGGTGAGGGGAGGTGGTGTGCATGTGAGGTGTGGGGTTTGTGGGGTGTGCTGCTCTGTAGGACCAGGCACCTGAGTTGGGGGACATGAGTCTGGGGAGAGGCGGGGATCATCGTTTCCTCACATCTGGGTCAGGCCTGGGCAGAGGGGTGCAGGTGGGGAGCCCTGTCCCTGAGGTGCACTTGGGCCTCCCCGCCCTCAGCTGGAGGCCTTGAATCAATCCATCAACATCGAGCAGTCGCAGTCTGACCGGAGCAAGCGGCCCTTCAACCCCGTCACGTGAGTGTCCGACCCAGCTGGGCCCCCCATGGGCTGGCTTGAGGGCTGAGGGTGCAGTGAGGGTGTCCACCTCCCACATACTCTGGCCAGGATAGTCCTGTCCGTCCCCTGAGTGCTCTGTCTTCCCCCTCCCTCCCTGTGCAGAGTCAACCTGCCCCCTGAGCAGGTCACCAAGGTGACTGTGGGGCGGCTACACTTCAGCGAGACAACTGCCAACAACATGCGGAAGAAAGGCAAGCCCAACCCTGACCAGAGGTGAGCTGGCTGCGCCCCTGCCCTGGGAACCACCCTTTCCATTTCTTAGGCAGTGGGGAGAGAAAACGGTGTTTGTGCAATACACACGGGGTGCAGGCTGCCACAGACTGACCTGTTACAGATGAGGGCTGACTATAGGATGATGAGAGCCAAGCCTGGCTTAGGGCTCTTAAATGAAATGTCCCTGGCTTCCTAAGGAGCCCTAATGGCACTGGGGGTTAAGCATGTGATTACTAACCCAAAGATCAGCAGTTTAAACTCACCAGTCACTCCTTGGGAGGAAAATGTGGCATTCAGCTTCCTTAAAGATTGACAGTCTTGAAGACTATGGGCATTTTTCCCTTGACCTACAGGGTCACTGTTGAGTCAGCTGAGGGCTCATAGAGCGCCCCTGTGAACAGTAGACCTGAACTCTGTCCTATCCCGTGCCACCCTTATCCTTTACACATTTGAGTCCATTGATGCAAAGATTGTATCAGTCCATCTCATTGCTGACCCTCCACCTTTCCAAGCATGATGTATCTTTTCCAAGGAAAGATGTTTAAGATATGTGAGATAAAGAGCTTCACTGTCTTTGCATCCGAGGAACATTCTGGTTGCACTAGTAGAGCTGGGTTTCTCTGAGGCAGTCCGTCCCTGAAGCCTGTCTGCCCCCTAGTGGAGACTCGGGACCCTCCTCCATAGACGCCCACTCTGAGAACCTGGATGAGATGACCCGGGGGACAGGGCACATACAGGAGGGCCCTGGTGCCTCTAAGACCCGCTGTGCCCCAGGTACTTCATGCTGGTGGTGGCCCTCCAGGCCCACGCCCAGAACCAGAACTACACGCTGGCGGCCCAGATATCGGAGCGAATCATCGTGCGGGTGAGGAATCCTGAGGTGCTGGGAGCTCCGTCTCTGGGCTGCAGTGCCCCCTTCACAGTAAAGCTGGTAGCCCCTTGGGATCCCACCAATAACTTAAATTGGCCACAAGGGGAGGTATACTTTAAGTTAAGGGAAGCCCCAGAGGGTAAGGAGCCCTGGCTAGTGTGGATGAATTCCTCCTTTCCTAGGGTGCTTCATGCACCCCCTCTTCTGTATGCCTTCCGAGACTGAGACCTTACCCAATTCTTTCTAGGCCTCCAATCCAGGCCAGTTTGAAAGCGACAGTGATGTTTTGTGGCAGCGGTCCCAAGTGCCAGACACTGTCTTCCACCACGGCCGGGTGGGCATCAACACAGACCGGCCAGATGAGGCACTGGTCGTGCATGGCAACGTCAAAGTCATGGGCTCCCTTATGCACCCCTCGGATCTGCGGGCCAAGGAGCAAGTGCAGGAGGTGTGGGCGGGGCTATGTGTGTAGGCGGGGCTATGAGGGATATTGGGGGTGTATACATAGACTGATAATTGGGCGTGGCTCTTAGAGGAGGCGGAGCTATGAGAGGGACTGGGCGGACTGGTGGGTGGACTATAGATTGGGCGTGGCTATCTTAGGGGCAGGATCTCTAATGGGCAGAGCTGTGGGGAGCTGTCAGGGACCTCTCAAGAGTACGGAAGAGCAACTGTGTCAGGCTGGAGACTAAGGTGTCCCTGATCCGGGCTATAGTCTTCACAATTACATGCGTCGGAGAGTTGGACAGTGACTAGGAATGATAGAGAATTGATGCCTTTGAGCTGTGGTGTTGGAGAAAAGTGTTGAATATACTATGGACTGCTAGGAGAACAAACAAGTTTGTCCTGGAGAGGGTCAAGGCGGAATGTTCCTTGGAGTCAAGGATTCTGAAGCTTCGTCTGACATACTTTGGGCATGTTGCAAGGAGGGACTGGTCCTTGGAGAGGGACATCATGTTTGGGAGAGTGGAGGGACAGCGCAGGAGAGAAAGACCCTCGATGAGATGGAGCAATTCTGTGATTGGAGTGGTGAGAGTGAGTGTGTTGGAGATGGTGAAGTTGGCACAGGATAGAGCAGGTTTTAGGGCTCTTGTACATAGGTCGCTATGAGTTGCAAAGGACTGGACCTGGACAGCACATAACAACAACATGGGGGTGGGGCTACGGGTGGGACTGGTCTGGCCCTGGACTGCCCCTGGGGGTGGGACTATATAGGTGACTGTCGCTGAGGGTGGGACTATAGGCAAGGTGTGTGGGCTGTTGATTGGGCGTGGCTCTCAGATGGGGCAGAGCTATTGGCAGGAGGTGGACTATGGTTTAGGCGTGGCTGTCTAAGGGGCGGGATCTCCAATTCAGGGGGGCCAACTTCGGTGGGGTGGGGACGTGGGCGTGACTTACCAGCGATAAGGCGGGACTATCAATGGGGCAGGGCTGTAAGTGGGCAGGGGCTGATCCTCAAAGCTGACTTTGGGGCGTGGTTTGTAGGAAAGGTTCATGGGGAGTAGGTGGTTTAGATGGAAGGGTCAGGGAGGAGTTGGAGGGATCTAGGGTTCCGGAGCCCTTGGTAGCAGGGTCTTCCCGCTCCGGGCTTCTTTCCTATTGCGCTTCAACCCCTCACCTGGACAGCCTCCAGAGGAAAGGGGTTCAGTGTGGGTCCTGCCTTCCGCAGGTGGACACCACGGAGCAGCTGAAGAGGATCTCGCGCATGCGGCTGGTGCACTACAGATACAAGCCCGAGTTCGCCGCCAGTGCAGGCATCGAGGCAGCGGCGCCCGAGACAGGTAGGGGCCGGCGGCCACGGACCTAACTGGGGTCCGGGAACCTCTCCCATCGGCTCTCAAACACCAGTCCTCTGACCCCGTCCTTTGAGGGTCCAATCACTGTCCTCTGGAAACCGTACTTCCAAGAATCCCTCTTCTCAAGAGAGGAGATTGTCGACCTTTCTCCTCTGATCAGATGGTGGATTCAAACACTTGCTTTTGGGTTGGCGGCACAATTCCTTACCCAAACCGCCCCTCCCCCGTACCCGGGAACCTATCTGACCCCCTCTAGAATCCCCCGGCTCTCCCTCTCAGATGAATCCAGCTTTTCTTCTCCCCAGAAACTCTGCCCCTTCCCTGGAATCCTTAGTCCGAGAATCGGCCCCTCCCCAGCTGAAGTCCCCTTGACCCATGAACCTGAAACCCGTGAACATTTGTCCCTTGGGATCCCCCTGCTCCTGGGCTCCTTGGTCCCCAAATTGTTAGCTGCTAGAAATTTACCCTCTCCAATGCCCAATCCTCGTGTTATATTAGGGTGCTGAGGGTACCCCACCTTGTTCTCCTTACTTGGCTTGACCCTCCCCAGGTGTCATCGCCCAGGAGGTGAAGGAGATCCTGCCTGAGGCTGTGAAGGACACAGGGGACATGGTCTTTGCCAACGGGAGTACCATCGAGAACTTCCTAGTTGTGAACAAGGTCTGCAGGTGTAGTGGGTGGAGAAGGGTCAGTGGGGACATGATCCCTCCACTGAAACTGAGGTGGGTGGGTGGGCAGTGCAAAGGGCAGGAACAGCCCAGTCACCTCGAGTCCCCTAGCTCCATGCATGGCCCCCAGGGAAGGAGTGATCAGTCACGTGGAGTCGGGGGACTTGGCCACTTCCTAGTTGAGTGAGGAAAAGCAAGAGGACGCTGACTAAGAGTTACTTTCCTCCCCAGTAAAATGAGGGTGCTAGCAACTTCTGTTCCATTCTCTACGAGCTCTAAGAGCATTTAGCTGCTTTCCAGGAGGCTGGAGGTTCAAGTCCACCAGCAGGTCCTTATAAGGAAGATGAAGCTGTTTCCATAAAGACCCATGGCTTTGGAAACTGTGAGGCAGTTAATTCTCTGTCCTGCAGGGCTGACTCTGGGGCAGCGAGTGTAGTTTTGGTATCCCTTTCTCATGTGGTTATGGCACAGGTTAGATGTCTGGTGTCTTGTGAAGAGGAGCCCTTGAGTGGTATAAAAGGTGAATGGCTTAGCTGCTGAGTGAAAGGTTTGAGGCTCGCACCCACCTCCAGGCCCCTGGGAAGGCCTGGCATTCTGTTTCCAAAGAACCAGCCTTTGAATAGCCTCTCGAGTGTTCTTCTCTCACATATGAGACCATCACGAGTTGGAATAGATTCCCTGGCCACTTGATTTTGTTGTTGTTGTTGTGAAGAGAGTGAGCATTTGTACACCTGGCATGAGGGGACAGGGAGTGGTCATGTGGGAGATTTTAGCCTCAGCTGAGGAGTAAAGTGCTGAAGTGTGAGGCCCAGGTTAGTTGGGTAGAGTTTGCAGGGCCCAAGCCCTTAGGTTTGCGGGAGCCTCGAAGGACAGAGGTTTCTGACAGGATGTGGGAAGGGCTCTGGGCCAGGCCCAGAGAGGCATAGCCTCACACAGGGGGCCCGGTGGGGGAGTGTTATTTGGGGTTGTGGCGGTACTAGAGGAGAGAGGCCCAGCTGGGCAGGGAGGTTTGGGGGCCCCCCTCCTGCTTCCTGCTGTGGCTTTGCCCTGTGCTCCTGGCCCCCCCCCCGTACCCGTACCCCTCAACTGTCAACCGTGACCCGGCTTAGGAGCGCATCTTCATGGAGAACGTGGGCGCCGTGAAGGAGCTGTGCAAGCTGACGGACAACCTAGAGACACGCATCGACGAGCTGGAGCGCTGGAGCCACAAGCTGGCCAAACTGCGGCGCCTGGACAGCCTCAAGTCCTCCGGCAGCTCGGGGGCTTTCAGGTGGGGACACGGGGCAGGGCGGGGGCGGGGAGACTCCCCACGCCCAGGCATCCTTGACCCTACCCCTTTCATCACAGCCATGCTGGAAGCCAGTTCAGCCGGGCAGGCAGCATCCCCCACAAGAAGAGACCCCTCAAGGTGGCCAGCAAGGTGAGCTGTCAGGAAGCATGCTGAATGGGCAGCTTTCTCTTCCCAGAGGGCCTTGTCCCAGCCTCATGGGCTCCAGCTACTCCCTTTCTCTCCACTCCCAGCCCACTCCTCCTGCCTGTCGGCCTGTGTCTCTGAGAGAATAGGCGGACCACAGTTCCCCGCTGTTGGCTGAGCCCACTGCAGGGGAGACTGTGGGTGTCCTAAGTGTGGGTCCGACTGATGCCTCTTCTGTTTTCCTTTGCTCCTCTGGCCTCAGTCGTCATCCATGGCCCCTGAGCAGGCTTGCATCAGCCAGCGCTTCCTGCAGGGTACCATCATCGCACTGGTGCTGGTCATGGCCTTCAGGTGACCTGCCCCAGGCTCTAGAGGTGGCTGGTGGCGGGGGGGTAGGGGGGGTGTGAGGTCCACGTGCCCAGTGAGGTCAGGCCTGGGGATCAGGAAGGAGGTGTGACCTGGGAGGTCCAGTGGCTGAGGTCTCGGAAAGGAGGTGGGCTGCTTCGTTTTATCTACCCCCAGGGATAGAAGGACCCCTTTACGGCCCTATCTGGGAGCCCAGCCCTCGAGGCCCAGGATTCAGGGTCCTGTCATAGTGAAGGGGACACTGGATGGTGGCTTACCTCTCACACTCATTCCTTCCTGTGCCCTCTAGTGTGGTGTCCATGTCCACACTGTATGTGCTGAGCCTGCGCACGGAGGAGGATCTGGTGGACACTGATGGGTATGTGTCCCCATGGCTACTTCCAGGGAGGCCTGGGTGTCGGCCAAGCCCCCAGGGCCACGAGGTCTTGACGGCAGCCAGGAGTCAGAGGAGCCCCAGAGCCTGTTGGTTCAGATGGACCTCAACCCCAGGCTCTCAGCCTCCTGGGGGATGATGGGAGCAGGCGGGTGGGTCTCCCCAGAGGGTGGGCAGTTGTTTCCGGTCCTTGCAGAAAGGGATGTTTTTTTCCTGGTGTATTCAGTGCTGGGACTGAGAGTCAGAACAGGGACTTGGGGAGGGTTGGGGCAGGACCGTGGGGCCCTGTCCACCCAATACATTCCAGCTCCTGGGACCACCTCTTACTATGTCTTTTCTCTCCTCTCCCTGGGCCTATCTCCCCTTTTCCCTTTCTGCTGCCCCTTAGCTCTTTTGCTGTATCCACTTCCTGTCTCCTGGCTCTGCTCCGGCCCCAGCACCCTGGGGGGAGCGAGGCCATGTGCCCATGGTATGTGTCTGGACCTAGCGTCCCCTCCCACCTCGGGCTCCTGCTGCCCACCTTCCTGCCTCCCTCCGCACCCCCCTGTCCCCTCCTGCTTCTCTGGGGACTCCCAGGCTCCCCCTGCAGTCTCTTGTAGGTCCTCTGAGCTCAGCTCTCCCTTCCCCAGCAGGTCCAGCCAGGGCTTTGGGACCACGCAGCTCCGACAGTCCTCTGTGACCACTGGGCTACCCAGCACACGGGCTTCTTTGCTTCCAAGTGCGTGCTTGGGCAGGGCTGAGGAGGGAAGCCAGGGAGGGAGAGGTTGGATGTGGGTGGGGGGCTCCACTGGCCCCTCTGGCTCACATAACCTCTGTCTTCCTCAGTCTCCACTCGCCTGCCCAGCTCTGCCCCACACCCGGCCATCCGCACCTTGGACCTGTGCCCCAGCCACCCTTGCCCAGTTGTCTGCTGTGCGTCCTCATTCACTCCTAGCCCCACTGCTGTCCCCAGTCCCGTCTCCAGCCTGAGCCCTGGCCATGACCTCAGCCCCAGTCCTACCACCATTCGCTCAGGTATGGCTGTCTTGGGGCCAGAGACTGGACTGTGGGGCTTAACTGAGGTCAGACAGGCCCGTAAGACTCACTAGTAGTGGGGGTCTGGAGGCAGATTGGGGGAGTCCTCCAGGACCAATAGAAGAATGGGGTTCACCAGGACTCTCATGATAGCTGGGCAGGAGAGAGCCACTTCTCTCGTCTCAGCCTGTCCCTGGTTCTGTCCACAGGCCCCAGTCACATGGCCTTGCTGCCGGTCACCAACATCAGAGCCAAGTCCTGGGGCCTTTCGGCCAATGGCATTGGCCACTCCAAGCATCCCAAGAGCCTGGAGCCAGTGGCCAGCCCCATGGTCCCCTTTCCTGGGGGGCAAGGCAAAGCCAAGAACAGCCCCAACCTGGCTTTCCGTGGCCGGGTCCGTCGAGGATCCCCCCAGTCCAGCCTGGGCCCTGCCCAGTCCACGCAGGCACAGAGCCAGCCAGGTACTTGCCCATCTCCGTCACCTCTCACCCTAGCCCAGCAAGATTCTCTGCTTGGGTCACCTGGGCCCTGTGTCCTGGCTACGGGCATTGGCTGGGCAGGTAGGTGCCAGGATCAGACCAGGTGCCTTCTATATTTTGTTTGATTGAACGGTCACCACATCTGCAAGGAAGACATTTCACCCCCATTAACAGAGGGGAAGACACAGATTCTGGTGAAGCTATCCACCTGGGGTGGATAGTCCAGCAGCAGCAGGTCCGGGATTTGATCCTGTGTCTACATGACTCCAGAGCCGGGCTACCGTGTCAGCATGGTGGGGCAAGGAGGCTGCAGTGCTATGTACCCCAGCTTCTTAGCAGGCCTGAAATCATTGGTTTTAACACAGCTAGAGAACCCTTTACCACAGGGGCTTTTGAAGTGGGTTCCTCTGGGCTTGCCCTGGGCACTGTTGTGGACTGAGGAGGACACTGGCCACCTCTTGGTTTCTGCCAGGCTACTCTGCTCTGGTTAGTGGTTCGTGGCAGGTCTTGCCACTTGTCCAAAGGCTGCACCTCTCAGGCAGGCAGAAGCTGCCGGCAGCTCTGTGAGAAGCAGATGAGCAGTTTCTTCCTGCTTGGTTCAATTTACAGCCACAGAAACCTGACAGAAGGTCCCCATGAGGCGGCATCAGATTTGAAGGGTTTTGTGACTTTGATAAGAAGCCCTGGTGGCATAGTGTGTAACGTATTGGGCTACTGACTGTTCAAATTCATGAGAAGTCTCCTGTGAATATTTATAGCCTGGGAAGCCCACTGGTGGGTTTTTATGCATTGGAACCAACTTGACGGCAGTGAGTTTGGTTTTAGTGACTCTTAAAAAGCAAAGACTTGTAAGCAGTGATTCTGCAGAGGCTGAAATGGAGACTCCCCAAAGGCTTACCAGGAAGCTGTTGGGCTGCTGTTTTGCGACGAGTTCTGCACAGGACACAGGGGGCGATGGTGACAGATATGCCCCTGACCCCTAAAAAGCTTGCAGACACAAAATCCTGCAGTATAGCGAGGTTCTGAGGAAATGTGGAGGCAACCTTGGGATGGAGGAAGGCTCTTTACCTGGGCTAAGGTGGACAGTTGATCCGGCAATGCTCCCTGGAGGAAGTGATGTTAAAACTGAGTTTCCAGAAACTAGATTCAACTATCATATTTTGTCATAGTTGTTATAGAATTTTTATAAACAGTATTTTATCTTTATTATGCTTTAGGTGAGAGTGTATACAGCAAATTAGGTTTCCATTTAATAATTTTTACATCAACTTGATAGTGGTTATAATTGTATTAGGATCCTTCACTTGATCTTAGTCAAAAGGCCAAGAAGCAATGTGAGTTAGCATTCTTATTTCTGTTCTCTTTGATTCCACTGACCTAGCCTGTTTCCCACCTTTCCTTTCCCTTTGGGTAAATGCTGCTGATGAAGGGAACACCTTATTCACAGGCAATAATGTTTATTTTATAAACTTCAATTCCAAGTGCAAAGTGTTCTTAGGGTGATAACCTCAGCATTTTCTCTTGTCTGTTGGCCCAGCAGATCTGGCCTGTCTTAGGAACTTGTGTCTTGTTCTACCTTTTTCTTCCATTCTGTCCGGTCCCCTCTATTGCATTGCTGGTCAGCACAGTAACGTGAGCTGGGCACCATCTAGTTCTTCTGATTTCAGGTTAGAAGGGGCTGTGGACTTTTAATCCTATGGACGAGTTTCTTCTAGGAACCTTTTCTCTCATTCAGTTTTGTTCCAAATGAGTAGAGAACAATAGTTGTTTCTTAGACGGTAGCTCGCAAGCTCCTAAGACCCCAGGTCCTATCCCTAAATGAGGGTATAGAACATTATCTTTGTGAGCAACGTCATGGCAGTTGATGAAGTAGTCCCCTAAGGGTGCTCCAGGATTAGAAGTGTGCTTCAAGTCGCTTTCAAAGGGTGACACTGTTAGCTGCTGAGGAGTCTGTCTTCATTGGCAGGGGTCTGTCCCATGTCTGCGGAGTAGATGGCTCTGTAGGGTCTTCAAGGCCATGACCTTTTGAAAGCAGATTACCAGGCTTGTCTTCTGAGATGCACTTGGTTAGGTTTGAACCAACAAATTTTTGGCTGTTAGATGAGCACTTCACAGTCGGGGCCACTCAACGCAGCCACCTGGAACTGGGTTTTAAAGACCTGTAGGAGTTTGCTCCAAAGACAGCTTTGCATCTTGTCTGTATCTGGTGCCTGGGCCTGGCCGCACAGGGCATGATGGATGCTGCTGTGTCCTGAGGTCTCTGTGTTGTGCTTCTTAGAGCAAAGATATACCAATTCCAGCGAATGGCTAGTGGTCTCACCTCCCCCCTTCTGGGGTGGGATGGTCAGAGAGCAGCAAGCCTGTGGATGATCAGGGTTGGGGAGAATCCTTGCCCCCAACGCAGCATGAGAGGCTCCAGGCCCTCTGTCCCTCAGTCACCCAGTCTGGGGATGCTTCTTCAGAATGGCACCAGCAGCGGCTCGGCTCCCAGGCCCCTGCTCTGTGTGCGGAGGATGTTCCCACTGTGGCCACTTCTGAGCTACCAGCATCTCAGCCCTGAACCCAGCCTGGGAAGAGACGTGACCGTCACGAAGAGGCAGGCACACAGCTGGTGTGAGCCAGCTTCTTTACCCCACTGGCAGGGGATATGCCAGCCCTGTGTTCAGTTCCGGGTGCCCCCATTCTGTCGGGGGGAGACTGGCTAGTCGTAGGGCCAGTGGGGAAGAAGGAGGAATGGCTTCCAGCCACTGGGGTGTTTGGAGAGAATAACTGGACTTACACTAACATGTGACTCACTCCAGTCTGACAAGGAAAGATTTGACTGAGTCTCACCAGTGCCACCTTCCTATCCTGATGTCCCCTCTCTTTGCAGACCCAGTGCCCTCCCTGACCTCCATCCAGGTGCTGGAGAATTCCATGCCCATCACCCCCCAGTCCTGCAGTCCAGGGGACACGTGCAGGTGTGCTTGACTTCCCCACTTTACCCCAAGGACAGGTTCTTTAAGGTGTTCAGAGCCCAGGGTTTGCCCCTCCTCAGAGAGATGCCCACTCCACACAGTGGGGGAGCGCTGCCCTGGAACCCTCCCCGATCTGATCCCCTGAAGGGCTCCATCACAGAGTTCTGAGTTGAGGGAGGTTTCAGTAGGATACCCGGGGACTGAGGAGCCAATTTTGTCCCTTCAGGCCGGGGAACGTCACCTACCACGTCCCTGTCAGCAGTAGAACCCCACTGCACCTCAGCCTGACCCTGCAAATGAAGTGAGTGCTGGGGGGCTGTGGGGAGGTCCGGGGGCGGGGGTCAGGCGGGCCCAACGTCCAGTGCAGAGCTTCAGGAGGGCAGGTCTGATGACCGGGCAGGAAGGACTGAGGAGAGACGTCAGGGCTCGCTGCCTGGCGTGTGGTTCAGGTCTACAGCCATGGTTCTGGGTTTGCTTGTTCTGGGAAATGGGGACAGTGCCTCGTAAGGCGTCCAGGACTATGTGGGACGGTGGCTGGGAAAGGTCCCTTGAAAGGGGGGAGGGTCAGCGTAGGAGAGGAGGACTTGACAGTGCCTGCAGCCATGGCTCAAGTGTGTCAGAGATGATGAGGATGGCACGGGACGGGTTCGGATCTGTTCAGAGGGTCGCTGTGGGTTGTACTTCACAGCACCTAACAGCACTCCACTAAGCTTTGCTATCGGCTGAGGGGAGAGGTAGTGGCCTGAGGAGTGGAGAGAGGGCGGGGTCTAGGTTATCAGGAATCCCTACTCATTGGAATGTGGGCAGGTGAGGTGGGGAGCCAGTGGGTCCAGCATGAGGGTGCTGGAACTCCATCGCCCTGCTCCCCATGTGTGCCCCCCTTTCCACAGCTCCTCCTCCCCCGTGTCCGTGGTCCTGTGCAGTCTGACATCAGAGGAGCCCTGTGAAGAGGGGGGTTCCCCACAGAGCCTTCCCACCCACCAGGACACCCAGGTATGGGAAGCTGGGCATATGTGGGCCAGCCAGGCCAAGCCTCATCTTCCCCCACAACTGGACCCCTCAACGGGTGGGAGGTGGAACTAGGTGTCACTCAGGGCAGCAGCACTTGAATGCGGCCACCAGGGGAGGGGACATCTGTGCACCAATGCACACACTCACTCATTCCACCCACTCGTGAGCATCTCCAGTCCCTGTCCGCCCCCCCCCCCCAGCAGAGCGCTCAGGAAGGCAGCTGTCCACAGGACCTGCACTGGGCTGTGCAGATGGGAACGCCAGGGTGCCCCAGAGCCCATGGGTAGGAGAGCTAGCCCCGCTGTCCCGGAGAAGTCAGGCTTACCACGAGGCCTTAAGGATGGTTTGGGGTCATCAAGAACCGGCAGGGGTTTATATAAGAAAATGCGACTGAAGAATTAAACTAATTCTCTGTGTCCACTTCCAAAAAAAAAAAAAAAGAACCGGCAGGGGACTGAGTGACAGGAGCAGGGACCAGTCTAAGAAGCAGAGCTGTGGAGGCAGAGAAGCATGGCACAGTGGCAGAACCGAAAACCTGGGAAGATGGGAGTGGCACTCTTAGGGCTTTCATACTGAAAGACCCTTTGGGCCACGTGCCCAGGCCTTGTTCCTGCCCTGCTCAGCACTGGCCATATGACCAGAAGTAGCTGTTTCCCTGACTGCTGACCCAACATAGTTCCTCCGTGGCCTAGAGCCTGGGGGACGTCAGGCCAGGTTAAGGGAAACAGTGACAGTCCTGCACGTCTGCACAAGTGTGTATGCAGTAAACACAGGGCCTGTCCTGGGCCAGCTGATGGGGGTGGAGGTGGAGTAGTCACAGACCTGGCTGTCCGGGATGCGCTCGAACAAGGGAGAGACGTGCAGGAAACGACCTGAGCAGAGGCGGATCCCAGGGCCGCAGAGGGGAGTGTGGGAAGGCAGAGGGTGAGCCCAGCCAGGTGCTCGCTGTGGTGGCGCCCAGACCAGGCCTCAGGTGGGTGCTGAGGACGCTCCCTGACCCCAGTCCTTGAGCTGCCTGAAAGGGCAAGCCGGTGAGACCTGGGTTTGAATCCCAGCGCTGCCACAGCTCCCACTGCCATGAGGTGGCTCTGACTCACAGTGACCCTGCAGGACAGAGCAGAACTGCCCCAGAGGGTTTTGGGGGGGGAGGGAACCTTCCAGGAGCAGCCAGCACCCCTGTACCTGCAGAGTGGCTGGTGGGTCTGAACTGCCGACCTTTCTGATAGCAGCCCAATGCTTAATCACCATGCCAGCAGGGCCCCTTCCACGCCTCAAAGCAGGGGATGCCGGCACCTGCCTCTCAGGGCCTGTGAGGACCTGTGCCTGGAGTGCAGTGCCTGAAAGGGCAAGCAGCGGGGAGATGGGGAGACGCAGCCCTGGCATGGTCGTTGTTTACTGCACCCCAAAGCAGAATGGCTGACCCCAGCCCCCTTCAACTCTATTTCTCCTTCATAAACCTTGCTGCAGACCTCTGGGGTGTGATGGCCATGGCAGTGGGGACGCTGGTTGGGATGGGGTGAGGCTCCTTCTTGACCCCTCTTCTCTCCAGGGCACCTCCCACCAGTGGCCAATAACCATCCTGTCCTTCCGAGAGTTCACCTACCACTTCCGGGTAGCACTGCTGGTGAGCAGGGGTACCCCATCTACCAGAGGGCCAGGCCCTAGAAGTGCAGTGTGTGCCCTGGGGGAGGGACGGTCTGTAGACTATTAGTTAGAACTTGGGGTACAGTGTCAAGTGATGTCGACAGGACAAGTGCTGGCTCCCGGAACCCTCTCATCTCTTTTTCCCGCCCGTCCTTCCAGGGCCAGGCCAACTGCAGCGCGGAAGCCCCGGCCCAGCAGGCCGCTGACTATTACTTCCGCTTCTACCGCCTATGTGACTGAGCTGTCCCCCTGAGGCAGCAGCAGACCAGGGCCCCCAGGCCCCCCACACTGGATGCGGTGGCATTACACTGGAGCCCGCGCTGGCCTGCTCTCTGCTGGTCACTGGAAATTCCCTCCACAGAGGCTGAAGCCAGGGCTTGGCCCTCATGACTGGTCAAACTGGAAATGCTCACACTGGAGTTACTGTTCCTGCTGGGAGCCCCTCACACCTTGGAGGGAGCTGGAGACCTGGGCCCGTTGGGCCCATTTCCACCTGTCCACACGGTGGGAAGAGGGCTAGCTTTGGCTGCCCTGGAGGCGAGAAGCCAGCACCCTGACTTTTCCAGAGCCCAGGTGCCTCTACCTCCCAAGCCTGGGATTGGCTTCTCTGAGGCGTGGCCTTGCCTGCCTTAGAGATCCGCTGGGGGCTCAGACTCAACCCTCTTCTACTTGGCTGGACCTGAGTCAATAGAGGGCACAGAGCCCCAACCCAGAGCTGCTCTTTGGGGGCTGACCTGGTACTGGACTTCTGAGGTTTGACTGTTACACTGGACTGAAACTTCTAAGCTTTAAGCATGACCTAGGGGTTCTCTTCTCCCTGGGAGCGCTTGGTTCCCAAGAGCCTTCAGGGTAGCTGCGGCCAGCCCTGGATAGGCCTCAGTGCCTGGAGGAAGCCACCCTCAGCCCTTCACAGGCCTGGACCAGTGGGGGCCTCGGGGCTGGGTAAGCCATGGACCCCTGAGCCTGGACTGCCTGCCTCCCCTGAAGGGCAGTTCCGTGTGGGCCCCCAGTGTTCCTGGGAGCCCGAGGTCACAGTCACAGTGCGTGTCTGTGATACCATCACTGAAGAGAGGAGCAGGACGGCAGGAGGTCTTGGCTGAGGGAAGATGCAAATAGCTTTCGCTGTCATTAATGAAGTAATTACTAAAATGCACTTAAACCAGAGGAGGCTGGAGCCGGGAGGCCCTGAGCGGGCCGGTGCCCTGGGGTGACACATGGAAAGAAACCAAGGCAGCTGTTTCCAACCTGCTTTGCTCTGCGGCTGGCCTCCCTTGCTCCGTGTGCTAGTGGTCTTCCTTAAAGCCGCCCTGGCTGGGCTAGCCAAGCTGGGGGCACCCATGCTTGGCAGAGGCCCCCACCTCTGTAGGAGCAGAATGATGGACTGGGGTCAGTGAAGATGTTTCTCAAATATCGACCTCATCCGTGCCTTCCGAGGCCAAACCGAGGCCTGCAGGATGGAACTGTTAAGTGAGACCACTGTGGGTTCTGAAATGGGATTGTTCCTATCCTCTGGGTCCGGCCACCTCTTTGGCACTAGCCCCAGTCTCCTCATTCTGTTTGGAAGAGAGGGCTTTCTGTGGGAGAAGCCAACTGAAATGGCCAGTGCTGTGCGCCTCAAAGGATAGGGAAACACTAGGATACTAGCCCCTCCACCCCTCATAGGAACCAGGGCTCCCCTGACGCCCGCCTGAGCCTTACTTATTAGGCCTGCTGTTCTCCTCCCACTAGGGGGAGCCCTCCAAGTGCCTCAGCCACACAGCAGGTCCACCCCTTGTAATAGGATTCTGGGGTTTCCCTTAGGGAGTGGGTGCAGGGCCTTCTAGGACTGCAGCCCCTCAGGCCACACTGCAGAGTCCTCTACCGCCCCCTGGAGCCCATCTGGACACAGCATTACCCCCATCTGGTTAGCAGCTGGCTCTGTTTCCAGGCCCAGGAAAGGAGTCCCCATTGCAGGGGTCGGGGCCAAGGTGTGGCTCCACGCAGTTTGACGGGGATCAACATTGGACCAAAGTCGCCTTATGCCCAAGGTAAAAGGGCTTCAGGAAGACGCAGGGCTGCTAGGCTGGCGCCGGACAGAGGGCGTCCAGCAGTCCCCACTCATCCCCTCCCTCTTTTTTCCAGCTTCAAGCTGTACACACGGCCTCGCAGTGCACAAGCCCCCTGCCTACTTTACGTTGCCATGTTCTGCTGAGTCGATTCTGACTCACAGCGACCCTAGAGCCCCCTTAAAATCCTTGCATATGCATGGGGCATCCCTTGCCCCACTTAACGCCCTTTCCTCTCCCTGAGCTCTGACTCATATTTATCTTGTACCAACTCAGAGGGTGGCAGCGAGGGAAGCAGTCCCGGGCCCGCTTCCTTCCTGATCCCTGCTTTTTTTTTTTTTTTCTGGAGTAAATATACATATATAAATAAATGTATAAATACTGCTTTGTATCTGAGCTTGCTTCGCTGGCCCTCTTCTTGAGTTTGTGTCATTAGGGCCACTTGGAACTTGGGGTTCTTTCTAAGGCTCTGCTGGGAGCCTTCTGGGTGTCAGTGGGGCTGGGAACGGGACTCGGAAACCACTCCATTGGCTGCTGTTCCATCTGGATTAACAGTAGCCCTCTGGGATAACAGTCTTTCCAGTCACTTGCTGTGCATCTGAGAGCTGGACAATGACTAGGGATGACAGAAGAGGAAGTGCTGCTTTGAGCTGTGGTGCCGGAGAGGAGCACTGCACATCCCATGGACGACCCAAAGAGCGGATCTGCCTTGGAGAGAGGGCAGCCACCGTGCTCAAAGATGACAAAGCTTCACCTCACATACTTTGGGCATGTTGCTATGACAGCCTATGCCTTGGAGAGGGACATCATATTTGGAAAGATGGGAGGGTCAGTGAAAGAAAGACCCTCATACAGATGGACTGACAGTGACTGCAGCGATGGGCTTGAGGGTGTCAGAGGTCGTGAGGAAGACACAGGATGGGACGGAGTTCAGGTGTATTGTTTATAAAGGTTGCTAGGGAGTGTACCTGACTCAATGACACCTAACAACAGCCTGGGGCAAAGACTCTTCAGAGGATAAGCTGAGACTTCCAGGGGTGCCTCAGCCCAGAGAGGGGCTTGACCGAGGGCAGCACTGACCTGAGTGGGTCCCTGGAGGAGTTTGTGCTGGAATACCTCCCTACCCACAGCCGTAAATGTCCCTGCACAGCCACAGGCCTGTGTTCCCCGCCCCCCAGCTTCAGCTGGTGCTGAGAGGCAGATAAGAAGGGGAAGAGAGGTGGGCTGGGAGTCAGTGGTCGCAGCAGCAGGCCACCCCCATCCCCACAGAATGAGCACCAGAAAGAACCGTCACACACCTGTCTTTATTGTGGGGCAGAAGTTGGGACTCTTCCAGCACTGTTAATAAAAAAAGTCAAAAATACTAATTTACAAAAGCAGGGATTCAGTGAAGCTGTCAGATGCATACCTGAAAGGGGAGAAGAATATACGAGTTAGCAGTGACATGACTTTCACCTTTTCTCACTGGATCCCTATGCTCCTGGGCCAAACGAAGAGTTGGTGATGACACGCCTTTGAAGCCGATGCCCAGAGCCAATTCTCAGGGACCCTGTGCAGCTTCTCTGCAGCAAATTTGAAGTTCCAGAGCCTGGCCCCCTTCCCACAGCCTCTTCAAGCCGCTGCAGCCCTATGGGGAGCCTGCACCCACATCCTACGGGGACACCACAGGCCGAATGAAGGGTCGGGGCCGTGTGGAGAACTCAGACCTGACGAAGCAGCAGCCAGTGTTAGCAGTCGCTGTCTGGTGGACTATGACTCAGGCTGACCCCCTGCTCCACAAGGTTTTCAAGGCTGTGACCTTTGGGGAGTAGACTGCCAGGCCTGTCTTCTAAGGTGCCAGTGGGCAGGCTCAAGCTGTCTCTGTTTTGGCTAAGAGTAAGTGTTTAACCATCTGTGCTAACAGGACTCCCATCAGGAATAGGGCTAAGAGGCAAGAGCACATTATTAGTGATGGAAACTAAGGGTGGTGGAGATTTGAGGCGGTGTGGCCACTCTGAGACATGGCAAGGGTTCTTCAGCCTGTGCCTGGGAGCCTCAGGCATCCAACCGAGACGCAGATCTTACCCTCGGCAGTCATACGTAGATGCCGACCCACAGCAGCAGGAAGAGGACCCCGAAGCCCATGAAGAGTGAGGCCACCAAGGAGATGAGCAGCTCTTTGTAGATGTCCCGTGTGTACTTGGTAGAGGTTACCTCATAACTGGACAGGGCTGTTAAGGAGAAGCAAAGGATGGGCTGGGGGTGGTGGTGGTGAGGAGAGCTTGACCAGTGTAACATCTGGTGAACAAGGTCTGGACAAAGGACTTCCTGAGAGGCCTGCCTCTCTGTGGTCTATCATATCTCTCCACCATCCGTAAAGAAAATGTGGCCCAGAGGGGCTAGGCGACTTGCTCCAGCACATAACTAATGAGTGGTGGACCTGGGCCCTCAGACCTCCTGACATCTGAGTGAGCCCGTTCACCGTCCTTCCAGCCTCAGCTCCTCTGACTCCAGGCTCCCATCCAGCTGTGCTCACAGTCCTGGAGATCCGAAAAGCAAACTGAGCTCATTTGAACTTGGAAAATAAGGTTACAACTTGACCTTGGGCATCAATAACTTTCCTTTGATCCTACCCTCCTGCGGCCCTGATCTAATGCACAGAGCAGCAGCGGGCTGTGTCCCCACTGTGGTTCCTCTCAGCCTCCTACATCACTCACTCTGGCCCACCAGATGCTCAATGAAAGGATACACGAAGAACCAGGCGGTGAAGAACATGCCAATGGCCAATAGCACCACGGTCAGATGGGGGAAGACAGCCGGGTTCACCGGGCTGGTGTATCTGCTCATGGCCTCGAGCTCCTAGGGAAGACATGAGATTAGAGCCCTCAAAGAATTTCATGACAGCAACCTGTGAAATTGGCAAAAGCTCTTGTACTCCAAAGACTGCTAGAACCCTCTTATGAGGCCAGGAATCCGGACAGCCTTCAGATCCAACATCCCGTGATTCAACGAATGAGGACACCACCATCTGCAATAGGTACAACTTTATATCTTCAATAAACAGTAACTTTTCTTTTAAAGGGTGAAATAGTAAAGATAGGTTTATTAGAAAGTTATATTCCCCAAAGGGACAGATCTCCTCCTTGAAAGGAGATACAGAAAAGAGGCCTAAGCCTGTCTTAAAAAACAAAATTACATCTTCAACTAACACTCTGTCTTTTCAATGAGATAAGAAGGGCAACTGAGACACTGAAGGTGATTAGCTTCCATCTGTGGTCCTAAACATTTTTCTGAGGCTACCAACCCCTATAAAAACATGATGGAAGATATGGGCTCTGCCTGGGAGAACTTTTTTACCCAAAGTTTTTGATGCCTTTTATGCACTTATGTCGAAAGACATCAGATTAAGAATCTACAGAACCTAGATGGCTATTCACTTCTTCTAATTCAGCATTTCCACCACACTCAGAGCATCCCAGGATTGACAGGCAAAAGACCCCAATGCACATTCTGGCTCTGCTGGTTAATTCAAGGCTCTGTAAGGTGGTTATAAAAATAGCTCTCTTGTGGCTTTGTTCACAATAGCAAAGAGCTGGAAACAACCCAAGTGCCCATCAAGAAACTATTAGATAGAGAAGCTGTGGTATATTCACACAATGGAATACTATGCAGCTTTGAAAAAAAGGAACTAATGAAACATTATGCAAAATGGGTGACCCTGGAGGACATTATGCTGAGTGAAATATCTCAGTCACAAAAGGGCAAATATTGCATAGGGCCACTGTTGTAAAATAGGACTGACATCGGGGTTGAGGGAAACACAGAAGGAGGGGAGGAATGATGTATACTGCATTGAAACAGATGAGGGAGAGAACTGTTTAAAAGGGATATATGATTTGGTATTATTGTCATGACAGGAGTCCAGAATAAAGGCTGCATAGTGGAGTGGACTTGGACGGAAGGATTGCATAATAATGGGTTTTTCTTTTACTTTTCAAGGAGAAGAGTGAATTGGGGGAGAGGAGGTGGGCAGGGAGAAAAGTGCAGCAATGAATGAATGGAAACCCTAAGTCTCTGTAAACTTTCCTTAAAATTAATAGTTCTCTTGGGAGTAATCGTAAGGTAGCACAATTTGATGGGTAGAGGAAGGGTCGGGTCAAGGAAATGGGACAGATCTGGTGTAAAAAACAATGTACACAGCCTGGTTCCGGCGCTATGGCCCCCGCAAAGAAGGGTGGTGAGAAGAAGAAAGACCGTTCTGCCATCAACGAAGTGGTGACCAGAGAGGACACCATCAACATTCACAAGCGCTTCCATGGAGTGGGATTTAAGAAGCGTGCTCCTCGGGCACTAAAGGAGATCCGGAAATTTGCCATGAAGGAGATGGGAACACCAGATGTTCGCATTGACACCAGGCTTAACAAAGCTGTCTGGGCCAAAGGAATAAGGAAATGTCCCATACCACATCCGTGTACGGTTGTCCAGAAAACGTAATGAGGATGAAGATTCCCCAAACAAGCTGTACACACTGCTTACCTATGTACCTGTCACCACTTTCAAAAATCTACAGACCGTCAATGTGGATGAAAACTAATAGCTGATTATCAAATAAAGTTATAAAACTGTAAAAAAAACCAAACAAAAAACCCCCCAAAAACCCAAAACAATGTACACGAATTTTTTTGAGTAAACCAGTGTAAAATAAAATGGTATTAGAAAAAAAAAAAAAAAAAAAATAATAGTTGGGGAGCTCTGGTGGCCTAGTGGCAAGAAGGTGTACTGCAATCCCAGAGACGCACGGTTCGAATCCACCAGATGCTCTGCCAGGGAAGGAAAGACAATCTCCTCCTGTGCCAGTCAGATCTGATTTGACGGTACACACACACACACACACACACACACACACAAATATTTAAAAAAATAAGAAAAAAAAGTCTCACAAAATTGCTGCATGATCTCTAAGAATGACAATGTGAACGCATCTAGCCCCCATGGCTGGCACAGAATCGCTGTTCAAGAAGGGTTTGTTTCTTTCCTAATGTTATAGGGAAGACAATGCCCGAGAAATCTGTAGAGGTCAAGTTCAGTACACGTGTTAGCTTTCATTGCCAGCTATCAAGTCAGCGCTTCCAGCATTCAGAACATAACCCTAGCGGGGTGCACGGATCCCCTTGTTCGAGGAGACACTAGATTTCAATTCAGCCAACATTTATGCTCCTCCCCCCCAGAAGAGGACAAGACAATCGCGGGCATTTACGGAGCCTCTCATCCCGGCCCTGTGTCGGGCACTGAGAATACAAAGATGAATAGCCATCATCTCGGGGGGAGCCACGCGTCCGCTGGAGGTCATTACGGGGCGTGGCCGAGAACAAAGCAGCCCGTGAAACGTGACAAGAGGCCAGTGGACGAGGTGTGGGAGCCGCCGCGATGGAGCAGCCTAGAGACTTGAAAGTTGGAAATGCTTCTCAAACAAGGGATTAGCCCGGGACGTTACAGCATGAATAGGAGTCCGGCAGGGAAAAGAATTGTTTAAATAGAGGTAATGGAGTGGGCAGAAGTTCCAAGGCATTAAAAGTGCACCCAGGCCCTGCTACTCTTTCAAATCGCGCCCAGTGTGATCAAAACCCCAGGCTGAGAGTCCACGGCGAGGGCTTCCCGTCCCCGCCCCTCCGGGCTCCAGCGGCGTCCCGTCCTGCGGATCGTGGGGACTTGCAGACCCCGCGAAAAGAGACAAGGTGTGACACGGGTCATCAGGAGCCTCCGCAGCCCTGTCTAACACTCCCTCCCCTTGCGCTCACCATTTTGCCCGGTTCTGAGCAAGCAGCAGCTTTGCCACCGGAAGAACACGTCGGCAGGACTTGGCGCCTTGCGCAGGCGGAAGAGGAAGTGCCCCCTGCAAGTGGTATTGTGGGATTTGTAGTCCTATAAATTTGAGCAGCAGTGAAAACTAGGGTCTGTGGGGGCTCAAGTGTAGAATTCGAGGGAAAAGCAATGAAAGGAAGTTTAAGGTCATTGAAAAAACTTGTTTACGCTGGCTGGATCGATTGTCACGAGAGAAGCTGGCTGAGGCGTCGGAGGCCTGGACTACAACCCCCAGGAGGCTGTGCGCGGCGTGTGGTCACGTGACGGGAGCGCGGGCTCCGGGATCCAGCGGACCTGGTGGCTGCAGAGGTGTTACTCCGCGGAGGTTTTGGTGAGTGAGGTTGTCCCGGGCAGCGTTGTCTGCAGAGCTGGCCGCTGACTGCTGAGACCTCTGTCCCCAAAGCCCAGGTGAGACGGTGTGGGAAGCACTTCCGAGGCCGCCGGGGCCCGCGGGTCGGCGGCACGCGAGGGAGGCGGGCGCGCGAACTTGGCAGTGGGGTTTCCCGCTTTCCCGCGCTGGGAGCTGGGCCATTCCCCCAACCTCCGAACTCCTCCGAACTCAGTGGAAGGAAAATAATTTCACAGTCTATGGGGTCGCTAAGATCTTGAGTGAGAAATACGTTTTAATCTTAACCACGCGGAGTTTTGTCCCTTCGATACCACGCTCTTAGTGGACGGGCTAGGAGGCCTGGTGGCATGGTGGGTAAGCGCTCGGCCGAAAGGTCAGCGGTTCCAGGCTTTCTATGGGAAAAACCCTGTAACCGCCGCAGTAACGAAAAGCTAAGAAAAGTCGTTTATCCGACATACTGGGATAGAGGACGTGTTCGCACATCTTGCTCCCACGTTTTCTTTGAGCGATGAAATCAGTGTGATCAGGACACAGAAAAAAGGAAAAGCAAAAGATAGCATGTCAAAAAATAAAAAAAGATAGCATGTCAGGGGGGTGCTAAGCGGGTGTTGTGAATGAGCGAGGGGAGCGAGCGCCTTGAGGTTTCCCTTCTGCCCAGGTCATTGCGGGATGATGAGGCCAGTGAAGTAAGCCCCGGGGTTGTATTCTTGGTTCCCCTGCTGCTACTTTTACTTAAAATGCTAAATACGTGCATAATAAAGGAGCCTTTCTAGGGGGATGGGTGATTAAAACCCAAAGGTCTCTGGATGGCTTCCCCCTCCCTCCCCAAAGCTGCAAATTGACTTTTTTCCCCTTTTCCCCGAGCTAGTAGACCAATTTCGTAGAGTGGCAGGATTCTAGATCACTAGTGTGCCAGTCGCCTTCATCAGACCTGGAGGGGAGTACCTACAAATATGGATTTTGGATTTAATGATGAGAAAATTCAAAGACTTGAAACTCTCAAACACAAGTGGAAATCCCTCAGCGCTGAGGGATCCTGAAGGAAGCAGTTGTGACAGCCACATTATCCCCATTCAGATACGTTATTGTTGCTGGTCTTGCACGAAGCTGTTTAGGAGTGTCTTAATATCTGGTGGAAAGACATTAAGAAGGAATGAGCATGTACAGTGATTCCAGGGTGTGTGGAATTTTCATTGTCAACAATGAAAATCCGAGAACCCTTAGTTGGCTTATGCCAAACCTGTATATAGACTACAGAACCTGTTTATAGACCAGGAGGTACCCTGTTTGACTCTGCATTTGACTGTGCGGGATGGTAACTTGTACCCACACCGTTTTGCCTTGTTTAGTAGATACTTGCTTGCCTCGGGGGGCTCAGTTCTGCCATTATGATCCCTGGACTGAGCAAGCCCTGCTCTGGACTTCATGGATCGTGGTGCAAGATGTAGCCCTTAACTTCATGCTGGATTTGGCTTCTCCTTTATCAATACCCCTAAAATGAAGCCGCCGCCGTCACAGATAAAAATAGGAAAGTGATACCATTTACAACAGTCAAATCACAGATTGGGATACTTAGTATTCCTAACCGAGTGAGAGATGCAAGAGACACAAAGAACCCTTCTTCAAGAAACAATACAAGAACTAAATAAATGGAAAAATGGATGTTGTGCAAATTGACTTTTTGAGTTGTTGATAGGACTTCTGTCTCAGCTCTAGACCCAAAGGAAACAATGCATTTACTGGTAAGCCTCAGCAGGTACAGTCCACGAGCGACTCCGTGGACAGTAATCCTGTAGGTTCGGCCTGGCTATCGATGTAGAAATGAAAAAACTGAGCTTAAGCTAGTTAATATTGCCACATGGGTGGTAATGCTGGAGCCTAGATGAATCTAGGCCAGAGTTCTTGCCTCTGTTGCTCACGGGGAGCTCTGGTGGCTAACGTAACTTTGAATCTACCAGTGCTCCAACAGGAGAGAAATCTGTGTGATTTGCACCCTCAGAAAGCCAGCAGAGGTTCAGCTTTGAACTTCAGTTCAGTTGGTTCTGACTCTGACCACAGGATCAAAGTCCTTGGATTGTGTAAAAAAATCAGACAACTAAGTTGAAGATTGGTGCTTTAAAGGCATGCTAACTGCTTCTGTAAACATTACAGCCAAGAGTCTGCCATTTTAATCTGACACAAGGGAATCCCCGTACATTCAAGTGAACTCTCAAGCAAAAGGTTCTGTTTGTTTTACAGGAACTGGAGTGAGTGTTGAAGGGGAGGGAAGGGCAAGAAGATGGCAGAAAGAGGGCACAGTAGAACTAAAGTGAGAAAGAGCAGGCCTGCCTGAAGGGTAATTTGGAAGATGTTGATACTACTTAGGATAATAACAGTTCCCTGTGATGAAAGAGTGGGAACCATTAGAAGGCATAGCACACTGTTTCTCAGAGTTGAATGAGTTCAGTGGTTACGAGGTGATTTTAAGTGTTTTTGTCGGGTGTAGTTGAATCATTTACAATTCAGTAACTCTGAATAGATCTGAACCTTGGCCCTATCCTGTGCCACCCTCATCCTCTCTAATATACTTGAACTCACTGTTGTCACTCACTGAAGTCACTATGTCAGTCCATCTTGTCAGGGGTTAGGTCTTCCTCTCTTTTCCCAGACCCTACTCCCTTTTTCAACATGCTGCCTTTTTCCAAAAACTGACTCCTGAAAAGTATTACAAAGTGGCACCCCAAAATATTCTTTTTTTAATAGTTACACACTTAACCTGTTAAAGTATAACTGATAAATAATATTGCTGTGGCAAAACTTAGTTGTGGTTTGGGCCTGACAGGTTTGAGAAACCCTACCGTAGGAAAGATTGGATAAGGAGCCTGATGTGCAGATGTGGGCCGAATAGCTCTAGTGTGCCAGTCGCCTTCATCAGACCTGGAGGGGAGTACCTACAGATACGGATTTTGGATTTAATGATGAGAAAATTCAAAGATTTGAAACTCTCAAACACAAGTGGAAATCCCTCAGCGCTGAGGGATCCTGAAGGAAGCAGGTGTGACAGCCATGTTATCCCCATTCAGATACGTTACTGTCGCTGGTCTTGCACGAAGCTGTTAGGAGGAGTGTCTAATGTCTGGTGGAAAGACATTAAGAAGGAATGAGCATGTACAGTGATTCCAGGGTGTGTGGACGGCATTGTCAAGAATGAAAATCCGAGAACCTTTAGTTGGCTCATACCAAACCTGTATATAGACTGCTGAACCTGTTTATAGACCAGGAGGTAGCCTCTTTGACTCTGCATTTGACTGTGTGGGATGGTAACTTGTACCTATGCTGTTTTGCCATGTTTAGCAGATACTTGCTTGTCCTGTGGGTTTCGATTTTGCCATTATGATCTCTGGACTAAGCAAGCCCTGCTCTGGACTTCATGGATCGTGGTGCAAGATGTAGCCCTTAATTTCATGCTGGATTTGGCTTCTTTCTTATCAATACCCCTAACAAGGATGCTTTTGGCAGAATGTTAAATGATCCAGGAAGTATTAAAAGAAGATGGAAAGAATATACTGAGTCACTGTATTCAAAGGAATTGGAAGACACAGAAGAATTTCATATGAGCAAGAGCCTATGGTGATGAAAGAAGAAGTTCAGGCTGCTTTGAAGGATATGGCAAAAAATAAGGCTCCAGGAATAGATGGTATACCAATTGACATATTTCAGTTAAGAGATGCTGCCATGGACGTGCTCACCAAATTGTGCCAAGAAATCTGGAGAACGACCACTTGGCCAACTGACTGGAAGAGATCGATATTTGTTCCTATCCCAAAGAAAGGTGACCCAACAGAATGTGGAAACTACAGAACAATCTCACTGATTTCACGTGCAAGCAAGATTTTACTGAAGATTATCCAAAAATGACTGGAACAGCACATCAACAGAGAACTACCAGAAGTCCAGGCTGGGTTTAGAAGGGGTCGTGGTACTAGAGATATTGTAGCTGATGTTAGATGGATCTTGGCTGAAAGCAGGGAATACCAGAGGAATGTCTATCTGTGTTTTATTGACTATGCAAAGGCATTTGACTGTGTAGATCATAACAAACTATGGCTGACTCTGAGAAGAATGGGAATCCCAGAACACTTGATCGTTCTAAGGCGAAACTTATACTTGGACCAGGAGGCAGTCGTCAGAACAGAGCAAGGGAACACTGCATGGTTCAAAATTGGGAAGGGCGTACGCCAGGGATGCATCCTATCTCCATACCTTTTCAACCTATATGCAGAACAGATTATCCGGGAGGCTGGGCTCTATGAGGAGAAATGTGGGGTCAAGATTGGTGGACGATTTATCAGCATTCTGCGTTATGCGGATGACACAACCCTGCTTGCTGAAACTGAAGAGGACCTGAAGCGCCTGCTGCAGAGTGTCAAGGACTACAGCCTCCAATATGGATTGAGGCTCAATGTCAAGAAGACAAAGATTCTCACCACTGGACCAATTGGCAGCATCAGGATGGATGGTGAAGAGATTGAGATTGTACACAGCTTTAGTTTGCTTGGCTCCATAGTCAACAGTCTTGGCACCAGCAGCCAGGAAATTAAAAGGTGCATTGCCATGGGAAAGTCTGCTGTTAGGGACCTCTCCAAAGTGCTGAAGAGCAGTGGTGTCTCTCTGGAGACTAAGGTGCGTCTAATACAGGCCATGGTCTTCACAGTCACCTGTTATGCATCAGAGAGTTGGACAATGACCAAGGAGGATAGGAGGAGAATTGATGCCTTTGAGTTGTGGTGCTGGAGAAGAGTATTGAGAATACCGTGGACTGCTAGGATAACAAACAGATTTGTCCTGGAAAGGGTTAAACCGGGCGGCTCCTTGGAGGCAAGGATTCTGAGGCTCCATCTAACATACTTTGGACATGTGAGGAGGGACCAGTCCCTGGAGAGGGACATCATGCTTAAGAGGGTGGAGGGACAGCGCAGGAGAGGAAGGCCCTCTATGAGGTGGATTGATTCAGTGATTGGGATAATTGGAATGGGAGTGTCAGAGACAGTGCGATTGGCACAGGACAGAGCGGAGTTTAGGGCTGTTGTACATACGGTCGCTATGAGTCGCAGGCGACTCAGTGGCACATAACAACAACATGAAGCCACTGTCATCTTAGTCCTCTGCATCTAGTTCAATTCCTGATACTTCTTGTTGTTATGTGCTTTTGAGTCACTAGTGACTCACAGCGACCCTATGTACAAGAACCCTAAACGCCGTTCTGTCCTGTGCCAACCTCGCCATCTCAAACCCACTCATTCCCACCACTCCACTCACAGAATTGATCCAAAAAAGAAAAATAGAAAAAAGAAGAAGAAAAAAAAAAAGAACAGAATTGATCCATCTCATCAAGGGTTTTCCTCTCCTGCGCCACCCCTCCACTCTCCCAAACATGATGTCCCTCTCTAAGGACCAGTCCCTCCTTGCAACAGGAGCATTCCGGCTTCACCCTCTCCAGGACAAACCTGTTTGTTATCCTAGCAGTCCATGGAATATTCAGCAGTCTTCTCCAGCACCACAGCTCAAAGGCATCAGTTCTCTTTCTACCATCCCTATTCACTGTCCTGATACTTAGTAAACTAAAAAACCAAAAAATACCCCTCACTGCTGTGCATTTAGAACGGAGTCCTAGCTGATCCTCCACTGGGTTTCCTGAGGCTGTAAATGTCACAGGAGGAGACTGTCCGGCTCCCCGTGGAGCTGCTGGTGGGTTTGGACTGGAAGAGCCTTGCGGCCTTTGGGTCAGCAGCAAGGTGCCTGTGGACTGATAGTCATTGAATGAATAATCACTCCTGTTAAGACCTTGAGTCTCTTGAGAACACAGACTGTGTCTTGTCAGTTTTTCAGCTTCCTGTGTTGGGTTGGAGTCCTTTGTTGTTGTTGTGCTGAATTTCTTATCTGAAGGAATTGAGTTGGTGAACTAACACCCAGTTATAACTTGATCCTTTTGCATTGTTAAACTTCCCCTCCTCAATTGACTTTATTTTATTTTATTTATTTATTTTTGTTTTTTTACAGCTGCTCCTGCTTAAGTGTGACCATGGGAATTCAAGGCCTGGCCAAACTGATTGCCGACGTCGCCCCCGGTGCCATCCGGGAGAATGACATCAAGAGCTACTTTGGCCGAAAGGTGGCCATTGATGCTTCCATGAGCATTTATCAGTTCCTGATTGCGGTTCGTCAGGGTGGCGACGTGCTGCAGAATGAGGAGGGCGAGACTACCAGCCACCTGGTGGGCATGTTCTACCGCACCATCCGCATGATGGAGAACGGCATCAAGCCCGTGTACGTGTTTGACGGCAAGCCTCCACAGCTCAAGTCGGGTGAGCTGGCCAAGCGCAGCGAGCGGCGGGCGGAAGCCGAGAAGCAGCTGCAGCAGGCTCAGGCGGCCGGGGCCGAGGAGGAGGTGGAGAAGTACACGAAGCGGCTGGTGAAGGTCACCCAGCAGCACAATGATGAGTGCAAGCAGCTGCTGGGCCTCATGGGCATCCCCTACCTCGATGCTCCCAGCGAGGCGGAGGCCAGCTGTGCGGCCCTGGTGAAGGCCGGCAAGGTCTACGCGGCGGCCACTGAGGACATGGACTGCCTGACCTTTGGCAGCCCAGTGCTCATGCGGCACCTGACGGCCAGCGAGGCCAAGAAGCTGCCCATCCAGGAATTCCACCTGAACAGGATCCTACAGGATCTGGGCCTGAGCCAGGAGCAGTTCGTGGATCTGTGCATCTTACTGGGCAGCGACTACTGCGAGACCATCCGGGGCATCGGGCCCAAGCGGGCCGTCGACCTCATCCAGAAGCACAAGAGCATCGAGGCCATAGTGCGGCAGCTCGACCCCAGCAAGTACCCCGTGCCGGAGAACTGGCTCCACAAGGAGGCCCAGAAGCTCTTCCTGGAGCCCGAAGTGCTGGACCCAGAGTCGGTGGAGCTGAAGTGGAGCGAGCCCAACGAGGAGGAGCTGGTCAAGTTCATGTGTGGTGAGAAGCAGTTCTCGGAGGAGCGAATCCGCAACGGGGTCAAGCGGCTGAGCAAGAGCCGCCAGGGCAGCACCCAGGGCCGCCTGGATGACTTCTTCAAGGTGACGGGCTCACTCTCCTCAGCTAAGCGCAAGGAGCCAGAACCCAAGGGAGCTGCTAAGAAGAAGGCCAAGACGGGGCCAGCAAAGAAGTTAAAGGGGAAATAAACATGTGCTTGCCTCCATTATTCCCCAGAATCGCTGCCTTTTGTATCCTCCACAGCTGCAGCCAGGCCAGCCTGCTGTGGGGTGGGGAATCTGTCTCGTGGCGCTACCTTGCTCAGTCGTGCCTTTCCCAGTGTTACTTGATAATATGGCCTGGAATGCCGTTTGCTTTGTTTGCTCAGGAAAGTGTGTCAGGCTCAAACCATTTCTTAGGCCGCTTCATGGACGGTGAATTCGTTGTTATATAAAAGTTTGGCAAGGAGCTTCTGATTAAAAGGAGATGAATAGTGGAGACAAGACTTGAGGAGTTCTTCCCTTGCTGTCCCACTGGTGGGTGATGAGACGTGGTGGTGGGACCCAACTACTGCTCCCCAAGTCTAGCTGTGATCCTCCTTGAACAAGAGCCTTCCGGAAGACCCCGTCTTACCAGATGAGAAGGCCGACTGAGAAAGAAGACAGAGTCCTGTTGGCTACAAGGGTTGATTACTGGTGTGTGTCTAGGGGTGGACCGAAACGTGAACCTGCTGTGCAGCGGGGATTTTTAAGTGGTCCTTCCCATGGCTCATGTATTGAGACTATAGAATAAATTGCTGGTTTTGATATGTTTTTGTTAAATGCGTTGGAGAAGGAAGTAAAACTATAAGTTTTGTTGCCACGGTCTTGGTGAACATTTGAAAACACGTGGAGTGCCTGATGTCTGAGTAAGAATAATTGTTTTATCTCACTACGCTCTAGGCGTGTGCTCTGTTGATGCCGTGTGGCTCGAGAGTGGCTACGAGATGGTGCCATGTCCTGTAGACCAGCAACAGCACAAGGCGCAGTTCAGCCGTTGGACGAAGCCTGTCTAACTTGCTGGGAAAATCATCACGTACAGAGGGCATTTCCAGTCTTCCTCCTCTCTAAGGTAGAGGAAGTCATCTGAAAAAAATGTCACAGTTTAGATCCACCCAACGTTATTGGTGTGAAGTCAGTTCTGAATTCACATCAACCCCTTGTACAGCAGAAAGTGTTGCTTTGCCCCTTCACTGTACTGTGTTTGAGGCCATTGTTGTGGCAACTGTATTGACCTTGATCTTTTTATTACTGATTCTCAGCCAAACATGATGTCCTCCAAGGACTGGTCCCTCCAGAATATGTGAGGCAATGACTGACAAGCCTCACTTCTTAGGACCATTTGATTGCATTCCAGGACGGATTTGTTGTTTTGAGTATTTTGTGGTATATTCAGTGCTCTGTGCATCAGTTATTCTGTACACGTGCATTTATATAAGGTGATTAAGAATACCATGAGTTAGTACAGGTGTACCTTAGTCCTTAATGTGATATCTTTGCTCTTTAATGTAGCAAAGCCTTGACCATTTGCCTAATGCAGTCTATCTTTTGATTTCTCGTCTCCTGTTTCCACAGGCATTTGTGGATCCAACTAAAAGGAAATTCTTGACAACTTCAGGCTTTTCACGGATCATTGTGAGCTTGCTTATTGGACAGTTTGTGAGGTGATTGCTGGCTCCTCTACATTCAGGTGTAACCTAGACTGAAGGCTGCAGGTTTTTCCCTTTAGTCAGTGCTTGAAGTCAGCGTCACTGCTCTGTAGTACCAGGTACTTAACCTGTCTGCTGTGTTGTAAAGGTTGCCATTAGAAATCACTGTTGTGTCTTTTTTTACCTCAGATTCAATTTGCTTTGTCTTGTAGAGTGGGGGTGTTTTTGACTCCCAAGGTTTTATAATCCTAATGAAGCTTGAGAGAGGAGTTGTTGTATTTGAGTTTTTAGTTGTTTAGCATTCCTACTACTTGCTTGGAAGAGCCAAGGGTCACTCAAAGAGGAAGACCCTTGACATGGTGGATGGACTTGGTGAAAACAGTGGGTTTCAGCACCACTGGGGCTGAGGACGGGGCAGGGCTGGGCAGGGTTTCCTTCTCTGTAGGCAGGGACACTTGAGTCAGAGCCAATTCTAGGGTACCTGACTGTGCTGTTTGAGGTTAACAGGGACATTTAACTGTCTGCAGTTTTCTAAGTTGGCAATCTCTTGACAAACTAAACAGGCTTTAGATCTATAAATGGAACAACTAATTTTCTGTAAAATCTTAATAGCACATAAGGGCTGCAGTTGAATGAAGCAAGAAGGGAATGTCTGCCCAGCTGTCTCCCTCACGACTAGAAAACTCGGGACAAGACGTTCTAGAGGGCCATAAATGTTGTTCAGGCAGACGTCTTATTTACTGCTGTGTGGCCAGGAGTTAGGGAACCAGTTTCCCCAGATTGAACCTGGGGGAGATCAGAACAGACTTAAGTTTGTAAAATGTGGCCATACCAGAACAGGGAAGAGTAGAGTCTGAAGCCCTGCAGTGGGACATCCGACGTGGGCACTGAAGTTCTGTCTGCCCGCGACCGTGATACGTGTGACCACAATGCAATGAGCATGCTTCCCGCCCTTTCTGGGAAGACACACTCCGGCCTGGTGTCTGCCTCATCTTCCCATTCAGGTCATCATCCTCAGACGCTCACTTTACAAGTTCGGGTCTGTTCTAGTTCTACTTTGTTGATCATGACAATGGATTTGAAGCCCTAGCTTGATCCAGCCACACAGTGTAATAGTTTTTTGTTCAAGTAATTTGATTCAAAGCCAGCTGCATTGGTGAGGGCCAGAAAGGAGGAGAGGTCCTGAAGAGTGAGCCCTGCATGGGTCCTGGTTCAGCGCCAAAGCCTTGTGGTTGGCCAGCAAGCATGCGGTTTGATGTTTGAACTATTGAATTGCCTCTCTGGGTACATTGGTGGGAAATAACTTCTGTGGGTAAATCGTGATTTGTTGTTGATTGCTTTTGAGTCGAGCACAACTCATAGCAACTGTATGAACAAATGGCCTGAAGCCCTTTGCATGTTTTAATGACACTTGAGTCCTGGTGGTGCTGAGGTTAAACAACACTCTGCCCACTAACCAAAGGTCCACGGTTTAAACCCACCAGCGACTCTGTGATGGCCTGTTGAGTGAGACCGACCTGTAGCTGACCCTCCAGCGGCTTTTCAGACAGTAAAAGTCTGCACAGGGGCAGACTGCCCATTCTCCCATGGAGCAGCTGGTGGATTCAAATGACATTTCAAATCTCATGGGATTGCAGCATGGTTTACCACCAGCTCGTTCCCATCTGGTGGTAAGAAATTCTACTGCCAGTTCAAGATGAGCAATCTCCGGTGTGACTTACTGCCTCTGAAAACCCGCTGGAGGGTCAGCTGTGGGTGGGTTTGGACTCCCTGGCACACAGCAACAATACTCTGAGGATGTGGCAGTCTGTTTTCATGAAGATTCGTCTTGGAAACCCGTATGGGGCTATTACATCCTGTCTTTATATTATGTGCTTAAGACCATAGTCCATCCTTCTCACACAGGCAGAGTTGTACCAGGCTTAAGAGACTTGAGTGTATGGCACCCAAGTACCAAGGTTGCCCAGTATGTAGCAATCTTGGGGTTCCTTGGGAGAGCAGACTTCGGTGCATAGAGCATTAAAATGTAGGCTGAAGCTTTATAACGTGCAGGCTGAAATGGGGGTGGAGGCAGAAGTGTGGGTACAATAGTAGAGATTTATTACTAAGTTACATCCCGTACAGGGACGGATCTCCCTCCTTGAAATAGGGGGTGAGTATGGCCTCCTTTGGGTCCCCTTGGGGCTGGAGCTGGGCCAGTGAGGATGCTAGGAGAGTGTAGTGGGTGGTTCTGGTTCCTATTTGATGTCATGTGCCAGTGTCCACTGCTTTAGACAGCACTCATGTGCCCAAAAGCACCAGTTCTGGGCATGTCAGTATTGGCTTCCTGGTTCTGATAGCTTCATTTTCGAAGCATAAACCTCCCCCCCCCCAAGCATAAACTTTTGCCTTATTTTGGTTCTAATCCTAACACTGATGATCACTATGAGAGAGCTCTGGCTTAGTGGGTAAGGCGTTGCACTGACAACTCCAAGGCAGGTGGTTTGAATCCTCGGGGGAAAGACTGGGCCGACTCCTGAAAATCACAATAGAAGGTCGCCTATGAGTCGGTTCCGACTTGACAGCAACGAGAATGGGATGGAAATGCGTAAACAGACACAGGAAAGGATTCGGGATGAGACCAAAGACAGGTGTGGGTGCTGCCTGAGAAGTGAGGAACTGGACTCAGGTCGCCTCATGGACATGGGCACAAGGATGTTACGGAAAGGCTGCTCTTCCCTGTGCACCGTGGCTTCAATTTTCCAGAGGGTCCGGATGCCCACCCTCTGACCAAGGAGCCGGTGTTAAGTGGGGAGGGGAGTCTTCTCAGAAAAGCTAGTAACAGAGGGGAGGAGTGACCTACAGGGGGTCACCAAAGAACAGCTTCACACAGTCAACATCAGCTTTATTTTCCAGCCGTCACATGATCAGAACATATAAACAAGTTTGGCGCACACAAAAAGGATCAAATCCTTCCAGCCAGGTGGTAGGAAGGTGCAAACAAAGGTAAACAAGCTGGAGATCAGGTGTTAGTCCTGCTGTGGCCGGTGCAGTGGGAGGCCCTATTTTCTCACCATATAGGGTTTGTATGTAAGGCCTCACTGTAGCAGCCTGTCACCATTGTGCCCATGACAGGGCCGGTGCAGGCCGAGAAGGCCACGTTGGTTATGCCGAGCTTGGCACAGGAAGGCCTCTAGTTTTCTCAGGTTGGACAGCTTAGACGTGCCACATTAAGTGGTGGGAATGTGCAAGGATCACCGATTCTGGAGGAAGCCAGTGGACGCCCAGCTCTGCCATTTGATTGGAACCTGCTCCAGTGGGAGAACATCCCACTCCCCGACTGCTGGCCTCTAAGCAGCCCCCACAGGTGGCTCCTATAACCCCATTCTGACATGACTTTAATAACCCTCACTTTCCTGATTGTCGACTAGGCCCTTCCCTGGAACAAACTTAAAGGTTCCTGCCTTTTTGGATTCTCATCCCATTGTCCGAAATACAAAGTACGTTTAGAGTGGATGTTCTGGTGCAATTCCTATACCTGGTTTGTGGGAGACCCCTGGGCACAGTCCTGCGTTCCCTTTAAGAGATTAAATCCCCGCCTGGTCTCTGGCACAATACCTAGAATGTCTAAATTACAGCAGTGAGGATCACAAATCTTCCCGTCACTGGTTTAGAACTATGAAGTGTTGTGATTAGCCTGTTGCTCCTCAAAAACCAGGTGCTAACAAACGGGTTAGAAGGAACCGGCTCCCCTCTGCTCTCAGAGCAACAGCTGGAGCCCTCGTGCTGAGTGTCCCTTGGGAGGCAGTTGGAAGAGCTTCGAGACTCGGGGTGGGGTAGGATTGTTTTATTTTCACAGGACAGCTATCTTTGGGAGGAGCTGGATGGACCCTACATGGAGCACACATTCCAAAAGCCAGCTGTGCCACGGTCCTGGAGCACATTCCCCACCTGGAGATTGTGGAAATGGCTTTTCCAAGGTGCCCGAGGCAGTGCTTTGTGGACAGGTCACACAGGTGGCCCTGGGCAGAAGGCCGAGTCTGTGGGCATGGTGCTGTGCCAGGCCTTGCAGCTCTAGGCAGAGGCGGCTTCTCTAAAACCTGGCACAGGAGGTTCTGCGGCCATGTCCGTCCAGCTTTGCAAGAGGTGAAGGCAGGGAGAAGTGGGCCAGTGAGAGGAGGGCCAAGTCTCCCATCCTGATGACCCCCTGAGGGTGCCAAGTAACCCGACTCCTCTCCCATTGGTACTCTTGAGGGAGTCAGGGTGTCCTCCCACCCTTCTTTGGGTCTTAGTTCTGTGCGTAAGAAGGTAGAAGGAAGGGGTCTGAGCCAGAATCTCGACCTCCCCAGACCCCTTCCCCTCTGAGCTGGAATCACAGTGGTGGCATCCCCAGAGCTCCCCCTCTGATCCGGCTCTTCCAGTTGGGGGGCTGCTAATGGTCAAGATAGGCATCCAGCCAGAGCTGCCCCGACTCCTTCAGTGAGCTGTAGGGCAAAAATGGGGAGTGGTGAGAGTGGGGTGAGCACCCAGCCAGTGGGTGTAGTGGGGTTCTCCTCTTTTAGAAATCTCAGCCTCTCCCTTTCTGACAAAGACGCCTTGGTCATTAAGGTGGCCTCCCATTGGATGAAAGGCTTTCTCAGCCACAAGACCAGTGTACCATGCCCGTGCCATGGTGATTCCACTCCGGGGCACTGGGGTGCCTTCCTATTGCTCCCGCTCCAGACCCACCCATTGCTGCTGCCCACTCCCTGCCCCCAGGCACGGCCACTCACTAGACAATGTCAGCGAAGGCGGAGAGCAGGGACTTAGACTTGTACTCCACGCCGTGCTTGGCACACAGGGACTGCACCAGTGGTGCCACTTTGTGGTAGTTGTGTCGCGGCATCATGGGGAAGAGGCTTTGGGGGGGGGGAAAGGAAAGGGTCAGCGGCTCCTGCTCCTCCCCTCCCATCATCCCCGACACCAAGACCCCGGGCCTCTGCATCCCACGCTTCCCCACTCACTGGTGTTCAATCTGGAAGTTGAGATGGCCACTGAACCAGTCATTGAAGAAAGACTGGTGGACGTTGCATGTTGCTTGGAGCTGGAGGAAAAGGTCAAGTGAGGGTTTGCCAGGGAGAGCTGGCACGGGGGAAGATAGTCCCTTCTTGTGGTTACAGGAAAGCCCCAGGTGGACAAAGCAATACTATTTGGGGATGTTCCCCCCCTCTTACTGGCTCCCACCTCCTGCCCTTCCTATTGGTTGCATTATGTTCAGATGTCCAGTGGCCTGGGCTCACCTGGGTGGTCACCCAGTCCTGGTTCCGGTCATGATCGATGTGCATGGGGATGTGGTTCATCTGTGTCACCCACACAAACCAGTTGCTTTCCAGGAACCTGGTGGGTAAGGCACACAGGAAAACCAGCAGATATGCATCGATTAATTTTGGGATACTGGATGTGATGTGAGTGGGACGTTGTGGGAACGCCTGTATTTATAAGGCATTGGGGTTTCCAAGCGTTGGCCTGGGAGCGACTGGCTGAGGATGCTTCAAGTGAGTGCTTTTCTAGGACCCAACTGGCCATGGTCAGGACAGCCGCAACTGTAGATGCCCAGGTGAGAAAGTCTGCCGTCAGGGACCTCTCCAGAGTACTGAAGGGCAATGACATCAGGCTGGAGACTAAGGTGCATCTGATCTGGGCCATAGTCTTTGCAATTGCGTGATATGCATCAGAGAGCTGGACAGTGATTAGGGATGATAGAGAATTGATGCCTTTGAGCTGTGGTGCTGGAGAAGTGCTGAATATACCATGGACTTAACAGATTTGTCCTGTACACAGCGGCCATCCAGAGGGGACTCTGACTCCAAGATAAGGGCCTGGTGCCTGGTCTTTATACCTGGGTGTCCGGGTCCACCATGAACTTACTGTTGGATGTTTGCTAAGCCGACATTGAATAACGCACATCAGTACATACAGGGCCAAGAGCTCCTTCTCGCTCAGAGGCTGCGGCCTGTTTACCTTCCCCAGCCCCCACTTTCTTCACTGCTCCAGGCTCCCCTCACCAGCCCCCACTTCCTTCACTAGCCCATGCTCCATCACCTACCTGAAAGTGAAGAAAAGGGCCAGAAAGCCTTTCAGTCCCAGCAGCGGCATGTAAGTGAGGATGATGCGGATGTAGAAAGTGCTCATCCAGGCCAGGTCCTTCAGGGAGGAAGGCCGAGGCCCGGTCACTGCAGGAAGGTGCTGTCCTCTCCCCCCACCCCAGCGAGGTTCTCCAGCCCCTGGTCACCTCACAGCCTGTCCTCACAAGGTGATGCTGTTGGGGTGCCACCGCCCCAGTGTGCCCTGCCTGCGACTTTCAGAGGTGCCCATGCTGCCACCAGAGCCTCCCCAGCCATCTAAATCGTTCACCACAGGGCCCAAAGAAACTCCCACCAGACCGCAGTGTAATCTGTGCCAGCACCCTGTTCCAAGTCCACAGTGCTCCTCCTGGAGCCATGAACCCTCCACACATGAACCTCAGGGCACACTGGCATGCCCGCCACGCCCAGGTTATTACAGCCCACCAAAGATCAGGACAATCTCCACCTGCTTCCTTTAGTTGAAATCTACTGGTAACCACTGGTTGCCTCAGTTTGATACCTGGCTCCATTTTTTTCTAAATCTGGGGGTATCCCATGCCCTGCCCCTTTCCCCCAGGACCCTGGGGACAAAGGATGGGACTGCTTGTGCCAGGGATACTCACCACCCATTTCTTCCGCTGGACGACAAAATAGAAAATATACCACTGGAAGTAGAGCGGCATCAGGGCGGGGGGCCCAACTGGGGAGGAAGTGGAGACGGGGAGGGTGAGAGCCGTATGGGGTTCACCAGCGTGTTGTCTAGACAGCATGGCGCTGTCTCGCCATCCCCGCCTATCACCCCTGGAGGCTCCTTAAACCAAAACCTGCTGCCATGGGGCCAGTACTACCTCAGGGGAACCGCCCCAGCGGGTTTCCAAAACTGGAAATCCCTACAGAAGCGGACTGCCCATCTTTCTTCCATGGAGCTGCCAGTGGTCTTGAACCACTGACCTCTGAGCCACCAGAATGCTATGCTCTGAAGCTGGGGTGGGATGCAAGTGCGAGGGGGGTTGTCTGGGGGACAGGACCGGCAGGTGTACTCTTCCACTGGAAGACAGCTGGGGTAACCCCAACACTCCCGTGTAGAACTCTTGTCTCCCACATCCCCACACTGCCTAAGCCTCTGCCTTTAGCCCACCAAGCGCCTTCCCGCTGGGCCCAGGCCAGCCTTGTGTCCACTGGGGCAGCGGGGCAGTGGGGTGCAGGGCATCCTGCTGACCATTCAGACTGCAGTGCACATCCTCGGACTCAGGAGATGGGCTTATTACCACCCACCTCAAAGCCCTGGAGGCAGGCTGTGGGAGGGCTGCAGGGCCTTCTCTTGAGAGAACTGAAGAAATGGGCCCTATCCTATGTGATGGCCTGTGTCTTCTCCAGTGTCCTGATGCCTCCTGTAGCCCCCTTCGTTACAGCCCCTCTGATCTGAGGTGCCTTGGACTCTACAATCGTCCCTCCGTGTCCCTGCTCCACCCTTCCACATTTCTGCAGAGGTGGTTGACTATGGGCTGTTTGGCAAAAGCACCTTCAAATTAACACAGGATCAGTTCTCCCTGCCCCTCATTTCTTTGCAAGTGTCTGCAATTTAAAAGGTTTTAAACTCAAGTTTTAAGCAAACTTTTAAAGCAAAGGGCATGTAACAGTCTTCAGAAAGCGCTGAGAGCCGAGGAATGGCTTTCTTCTCTAGGGGCTTCCTTGTTGGCCTGGGGGTTGCAGTGGGTCAGCATGGTGGGTTACCCACGTGTATTCACCTGGTTTCACGTTTAATCAGGAGGGCCCCACGAGGTCACTCATTTCTTTGTGGTGGGATAGGGAAATTCTTTTGTCCTGAGCATAAATGACCTCTAACCAAACATCAGCCCACTGAGTTGGGGATTGCTCCCGTGAAGGCAGGAGTGGATTTGCCTTCTAGCCCCTCCGCACACTCGGCACAACCTGGCCCCGTCTGGGCCCCATGGCACACAACGGCCCTGTCATGGCCCTTCAGCACACCCTTGGCACACCCCGGTCCGTCTAGGCCCTAGCCCGGCCCCTCGGCACGCCCCGGCCCCTCCTGCAGAACAAGGACACTCACTCAGGAAGAAGTACTTGTGCTGGTGGTTGTACGGCATGTACTTTTTCTTCTCTTTCCCAAGCTGTGAAGAGAAGACGACAGGTGAGCCTGTGCGGGGCTCCAGGCACCCCTCCACCTTTGACCTGGCTTTTCTCCTGCTCCTTGGAGACTGCTGGGGGGCTCCCAGGGATGTGAGCACAAAACCCTGGGATGTGTGTCCCGCACAGCAGGCCATGGCGTGCAGATATGGCAGGCACAGCGTGGTCTACAGGTTCCAAAGACACCTTGTCATGAGATGTCCAGGCCCCTTCTGCTGGGGATTCACTGTGTCCCCTCAAAATATGTGTGTCCACTTGGCTGTGATTCTTAATGTTACATAATTATCCTGTTTTATGGTCAGATGTAATGATTCCAAACGGCTGTACATCCTTGGGCACGCTGACGGCATAGTGGTTAATCAAAAGATCAGCGGTTCAAGCCCACCAGACGCTCTGTAGCAGGATAAGGCAGTCTTGCTTCTGCAAAGAGTTCTAGCCTTGGAACTTTCTGGCCAGTTGTGTTCTGTCCTATAGGGCTTGAGGGGAGTCAGCTCAAGTGAATGGCAGGAAGTGGGTTATATAAATCCTCATTGGCTAGCAGATGAGTACTTTAACCACTTACTACCAAGCCTCCCTCATTAATGTGCTGCCTTCTCATGTGTTAGAGTTGGAGCCAACCCACAGCTGACCCTCCAAGCCGGTTTTCAGAGGCAGGGAGGCGGCTGCCCATCCTTCTCCTGCGGAGCAGCTGGTGGATTTGAACCACATGCCTTTGGGATTGCAGCACAGCTTCTCACCACTAGGCCACCAGAGCTGCTACCATTAACGTGCTAGAGGTTAGGATGTACAACCTACCGCCCTCCTGCTGATTCTGACTCACGGCAACCCTGCAAGGCAGAGCAGAGGGCAGGAAGGAGCAGGAAAGGGATGAGTGGACTGGGTGGTACAGGGAGGAAGTGGGAAGAGTGCTGTTAGGAGGGCATTGCAGCCAATGCCACCAAGCACAACGTGGATCACTGCTGAGTGGGAAATGAATGTATCTGTCAGCTCTCACCTGAACCACAATAAAACATTAAAACAGTAACAGAAGTGCTTCCAAGAGCTGCCGCCCAGTAAATAACCCACACTGCCCCTAACCCCATCGCGTGAGCCAGGTGAGGAGGCAGGGCTGGCCTGCCATCTGTGCGCACTGTTATCATGCCACACGTGAAACCAGTCTATGCATAGAGGACGGGAGAATGGGAATATTATGGACAGGCGAGGCCCAGAGCCCCGTGCTATGAGACCCTCACGGCCAAACAGGTCCGGCTGGACAGCTGGACAACCGGTCCTGCCAAATGCCCTGCAGAGTTGTTCTTGTGGCCGGAGGGGCCAGGAGAACCAGACTCCGTTCCAGTCAGGCGTGCTTGATAACCGTTTAATTCCTGGCATGCTGGAATGGCATGTTGGGAGGGGAACTTGGCAGAACCGAAAGCTGGAGTGTCTGGACAAGGCGTTTTAAATTAATTTTTCAAAGGGCTCTGTGGCCACGGCTTGTGCTCATTTACACGATGAGCAGAGGCCCCTCTGTCCTAGTGTTCCTCCTTCAGCCAGGATACTGTTTCCAGCTCACAACCAGAACTCACCTTCCATGCTCACCACCCCTCCCACTGCCGCTGACTGAGTGACTCCACTCCAGGCAGTGCAGGGACAGTGGGCAGACGGACAGCCCAGGCCTGGCACACAGACCCACATCATAAGACATCAAATGGAAGAGTGAGAGTGAGTGAGAAATGACCCCACTCCCTGTGCCGGGAAGGGATGTCAAAGCACCCAAGGAAGCATCTGCTTCAGAAGCAGGAGCTGGCCCTGAAGCTAGTCATTGTCCAGACACTTCATATCACACGGGACTGTCATCCCACTAACCGAGGGAGGACGGCGACTGCCCCAGGCAGCCCTGGTTTACTGCCTCCAGGCCTGTAGCCAGCGTGGACCTCAGCTATTTCTCATTCCCCTACCGATGTGAAGCCAGCATGTCCTCCAGCATCCTCTGTGCTGGTAGACCCCCCCCCCCCACGCCCCAAGACCTTTCCAGGAGGGCCCTCACCTCCACAGAGAGGATCTTCCCCAAGGCAAACAAGAGGGGGTGCATGTTGATGTCGGGGTCCTTGCGGTAGCAGTTGGGCTTGGCGTGGTGCTGAAAGTGCATGTGGTTCCACCAGCTGGCGGGGGCTCCCTGCAGCACAGAGGAGACACACACGTGAAAACCCAGTTACCACGCTGTACTGCAGCTCCCCCTCAAGCAGCTGCTCAGCAGGAGGGGTTTCAGGGAGCCCCACCTCCTCCCACTGACCTTCAGGTGGCCAATCACGAAGTGATGTAGCAGGTGATTCCAGGAGGTGGTGCTGAAGACAGACAGATGCCCAAAGTCATGCTGCAGCCAGCCAGCCTGGGCCTAGAGAGGAAGTGGGACAGTGAGAGCCCGCCAGCCACCCACAGACCCTCTCACTGACCGTTGTGGCTCCTTCAGGCTCTTCCCCCGCCTGCCCAGGCCATGATGGCCACGCTTCCGAAAAGCTCACCGGGAACCCAGCTCCGCCACTAACCCGCATGAGAGTGGGGAGGGGTAAAGAGCTCTCCCTTTATCCCTCAGTGTCCCCATTTCCAAATCCCATGGCTTCCCCCGGGCTGAGCATCTAGTCTAGAAGGTAGAAGAGGGCAGAGTGACAAACGCCGAGGGGCAGAACCTTGGCAAATGGGTTCTGACAGCCAAGCATTAGGGCCTCAGCATTATGGGCACTGGGCTCTGTCCGTGGTGGGGGCAGAAGCTTTGGAGCTTGGCACCCTGGGCTGTGGCAGAATCTGAGTGAGAAGCTTAAAAGGAGACAGGAACCTTGGGAGGGGAACAACGGGAGAGAAAGGACGGGATGCACGCGACTAACAAGCGGAGGGAAGCTGAGGACAACGGGGTACACGTTCTCTTTCTGGACCCACTCTCCCCAGCCCAGCTTCTGCTCGCACAGCGAGCCCAGGATCAGCACCTGCACTGCGCTGAGGAGCACTGCACAGATGAGGAAGGGCACCCAGGACGTCCCAAACCAGTAAAGCGTCAACCAGGCGGCGACATCCATCAGCAGGATGTGCAGCAGGTACAGGAAGAAGAAGATGTGCTTGGGCTTCATGAACCCTGCTCGCTCCACTGTGGTATAGAGTTCCCGGAAATCCTTGATCAGCTCTTCCTGTGGAAGAGAGAAACGACCTATGATTCTCCCCAGCTCAGACCATCAGCTCAGACCATACTGGCTCCCCACCCAGAGCCCGGACGTAACTTTGGGGAGTTCACAGTCTTAGGTAAAACCAAACCCAAACCATGGCCATCTAGTCAGTCCAATGAACAGTGACTATTAACAGGGTAATGGGGGTAGGTGGGTGGGAGACAAGGAGACTGGCTCAGGATAGCCCACGGTTCAGAGTTCTCCTAGGGTCGCAATGAGTCGCAGGCGACTCAATGGCACATAACCAGAAGACAGGATCGGGAGCTATGGTGGCCTAGCGGCTGTAATGGCACACGGTTCAAATCCAGCTGTTCCATGGGAGATGGTTGGGCAGTCACCTCCTAATTGCCTCTGAAAATCCAGAGGGTCGGCTATGGGTCAATTCCAAGTAGACAATACACAACAACAACAACAATGACAATATGAAGTTAAGCTTGTCACAAACTCCCTCCAGTTGGAATCCATTCACAGCTGACCTTCCTTCCAGTAGGTTCCTGAGACTGTAAATAGGGGAGGAGATTGCCCATCTTTCTCTCAGAAACATAGGATTCAGAGAAGTGTTGTCTTTGGATCAGCATTCCAGCTCCCTATGGGCTAGACCCTCTTGGTTTTGATGGGGTGGTACTGATAAGTTCAGAATTCTGTATGTATGTGTCAAGTATGGAACGATAGTTCTAGAGTTAGAAAACTGGCAGTTTGCTCCAGCCTAGTTGCTTAACCTTAGAATTTTTTAAATTTTTAAAATTTTGAGGGGAGCTCTGGTGGCCTAGTGGCAAGAAGCTGCACTACAATCCCAGAGGCGCATGGTTCGAATCCACCAGATGCTCTGCCGGGGAAGGAGGGACAATCTCCTCCTGTACCAGTCAGATCTGATTTGACGGTACACACACACACACACACACACACACACACACTCTAAATTTTAATAGTTATTATTTTGTGTGTGTATTGTCGAATCAGATCAGACTGGTATAGGCGGCGATTGCCTCTCCCTTTCCAGGCAGATATCTGGTGGATTTGAACCGCTTGCAGTGCAGCTTTTTGCCACTAGGCCACCAGAGATCCCTGACCTTAGAAATCTTAGTATACTTTCTTTAATCTGTCTGTTTATCAGAAGAGATGCATCTCCTAGATTAGCAGTTACCTCTTTATAGCTGTTTTCCCCAATCATATGTAAATTATAACTTAACAAGCCTGTGTGTCAGGAAAGTATCTGGGTGTGAATGATTGTCTTTCAGATATAGAAATTCTTTGATTTTATTAACAATAGTTTACTGTTAAGTCAGTTAGTGTGTCATTCTAGTAAAAAAGCCTGATGACCGCTCCCAGTCCTGCTCCCAGTCCCGCTGTCCTCCCCGACCTGTAATAAAGTGCTTATGGATATTGCAATCCATTTGTTTTATTGGCAACTGACTACAGAAAGAACCCCTTGCATTCAGTAACAGTTTGGGCCTTGGGAGGAACCTGCCCCTCTGGGTCTGTGACCCCACAGCTTTGCAGAAGCAGCTGCTCCTCAAAACAAGCAAAAGGTCTTACATTTTTGGTGGGCTCAGAGCTGGGCTGCTCAGGAGAGAGCTCTCCAATCAGGAGTGAATTCATATACTTTCTCACCAAGTTCTTGTTGAGGTGGAATGCCATAAAGGCGTCCTGCAAAGGGAAAGGAGAAAGGTGAGGAATCTGGACCCATTGCCCAGAACACCTGGAGGACTCACACCAAGGTCAAACCGAGAGACCCCTCCCTTCAGCCAGCTGCCCTTGGGACCCACACCTTTGCCAGGAATTCAAAACTTATCACAGAAGCCCTTCAGGGGGGCCAGCATGTCCCCAGCGAGGCTAAAGGGAGCTTTTGCATTTGAATGAGTCTGGACAGAGAAAAGAAACTACCAGAAGGTGGGGCTGTGGGGCTTTTCGTCCCTCCGATCTTTTTCACAAGGCCCTCCCTTTGGAGCCATTGTTGTCCACAAAAAAGAAGAAGGTAAGTGACTCCCTCAGTTTGAAAAACTTTTGCTTCCTCCTTTGCTTGCCCCGCGTCCCACTTCAAGCAGGCTTAGGTGGGAATGCACATTTTCTCCAGTATCCTAACTACCCACTGCCCTAAGGTGGCTAGTTTTGGTTATAGGGGGTAGGGGTGGGCTTCAGCGCTAAAAGCCCCATCTCCAGGTTCAGCAGGCCCTGATGCTACAGAAGAGGCGTGTGGGGAGGGGGGGCCCAGGGCGGAGCTGGCGGCCGATGGCACCACACAACCGGACCAATCGCCATCCCCGCCGCGGCCATCCCCGGCCCCAAATCACCGAGCTGGAAGGCGGACCTGGGGCCCTCCGTCTGCGCATGTGTCATCCCAAACTCCCTGCCTTCGCCGAAGTCTGGGCTCCCGGAGCTGTCACCCCCAGCAACAGGAGGAGGGTGCATTCATTCAGGGATCCCCGGGTGGGGACAGAGGAAGGAGTCGGGCTGATGGGTGCAGGATGGGAAAAGGGATGGATGCAAGAGGGGGGGCCATCTCTATGGCCGGAGTGGGGAATGCGATGAAGCGAAGGTTCGAACTTCTGGATCCCAAGGGGTGCCCACGGAGCTCTAGCCCAGTAGGGAAGCTTCCGGGGGCGGGTGGTCTAGGAGAAAGCAGCTGGACCAGGTCTAGGGGCGCACAGATCCCGCAGAGTGAGGTCCAAGCGAAGATCATCGCTACCCGGCCAGGGGCCTACTGCCCTGGAGTGCAAAGCCGCTGTCGGCTGCGGCAAGTGGCTGGAGACCCCGTAGCTGAGAGATCGATCCCTTTGGCGGCTCCTGGAACCCCCCCATGAGGTGCATGCACCCCTAATCCTGGCATTTCCTTTGAGCCTCTTTCCGCTTATCCACTCCGGCGGGTGCTGCCTCTTCTCCGCCCATCTCTCGGGGTTTCCGATTCAGCCGTCCCAGGGAACACTGCCCTCGGTCGTCCCCTCCCAGTCACCGAGACAGGACGTGACTCCAGCGGCCCGACCCCCTCCTGCCCCGGCGCGGCGACCCGCGCCCTCTTCCCGTCGGGAGCGCAGATCCGGGGCCCCGCAGTCAGTCCTTTGTTTCTGTTTGCGCGCTACCAGCCCTGGTCCCCGCTCTCCGGTTTCCGAGCCGGTCCCCCGGCCCTTGCATTCCCGCCGCCCCAGGGCAGCGCACCCAGCTGCCCTGCCAACAGGTCTGCCTTTTCTCCCGCCCCGGTGCCAAACTTCTGACCTCTGCGGTAGCGCCCCGCACCACTCACCGTAGCATCCTGCCCGGCATAGTGACTGATGACCCGGGAGCCCCCAGGGTGCCGGCGGACAAACTCGGTGATGTTATACACCTTCCGGTCGATCACCAGCCACCGCTCCTTCTCTCTCCCGGAGCGCTCCGCCACCTCGTCCCAGGTGAAGTAGCGGGGTGCAGGGACCACATCCCGGTTCCCCGCCGCCTCGGGATCGGGGGCCATCTCTCGCCGCGCAGAGGCTGTCAAGCGCGTGCTCGGGGTTCGCGGGGAAGCGCGCGGGTATACAGTGCTCGAACCGCGAGTCCGTGGCGCGTGCCCGCAGCCCGCAGCCCGCGCGCCGGGTTTTCAGCCTTCAGGGCGCCACCCGCAGAGCCTCCCAGCGCGCGCTCCCATTGGCCGAGCGGCGTGGCGCGGAGCGAGTCCCCACCCCCCACCCCCCGAGGCCGCGCGCGGGCAGCCCCGCCTCTGCGCTCGAGGCACCGAGGGCCGCCGCCATCGCGCGCCCCCTCGCGGGCTTCTTAGGTCGCGACGGAGTCAGCTCCTGACCAGCTGGGGTCACGGACCCCAGTGGACACGGGGTTTCGAGGCGTTCGCTCTCTGGGGTCCCCGCCCCAAGTAGTGGTTCCCAGGATGGCTCCCGAGGCGCTGGCCACTTGGAGTTCCCGGGGAGGTGGTGGGCGGGCAGCCGAGGTTGGTGTGTGGGTGCTGGGGGGGGGGGGGGGGGGGAGGTGGAGGACAGGGGCAGGCAGGGTCCCCAAACCAGGGCCACTCCCAGGATGAGAATGTCTGCAGACAGGAAAGGATGCTACCCTTCCGTCCCAGGCCAGCTGTTTACAGCAATTGCTGTTGTGTACCGTCCAGTCGGAACAGACCCTAGTTGACCTTCTGGATGAGTTTTCAGAGGCAGTTAGTCGCCAAGGGAGGAGAGTGTCCATCTTTCACCCCCGCTGAGCTGATGGATTTGAACCCCTTGTCTTTTGGATTACAGCACAGCTTCTTATTATCACTAGGCCACCAGAGCTGCCTACAGCAATTAGTAACGTAATTGTTAATGGCTTTGTTTGTCCAATACACCATTAAAATGTCCCCCAATTGTTTATAATCCCGTTTGTCTTTTTTAAAAAACAAAAAGAAAAAAAAAGGGGGAAAGTGGTAAACTGGGACCTGATTTCTAGGAGGGCTCGGATGGAGGGTCCTCAAGCTGAAGGTTTCTGTTCAAATCTGGGGGTTTTGCTGTTACTGGTCAAAAGACGACCCCCTGTGTGAGTGACAGGAAGGTTTTCAAGCCTGACCTTTCAGAACCAGATCCGATCTACTACCGTGGATTCCATCCTGGCTCACAGCCGCTCTTCAGGACCAGAGGGCACTGCTCCCTACAGTTTCTAACTTGAAGCAAACTGTCCATCTTTCTCCCTGAGAGGGCTGGTGGATGAGTTCCAACAATGTTAAGCAACCCTCCCTTTAACCTGCTGCACCACCAGGGCTGTCGGCCATCAGGCCTGTTGGGAAAGCACCTCTGGGTAAGCGCAGATTCCTCACCTTTTGGATGGAAGTTCATTGCTTAATTCATTGCCTTAAGCAGTGATTTCTGGGATCCACTGTTGTCACCTGCCTGAGTGGCTTCCAACTCATTGTGACCCTCAGGCCTCACAGCATAAAATAGAGTTCCACCCTGCACTGTTTTCACAATCATCCTATATAGTTTTTACAGTCGCTGCTGCACTTGGACTCACTTGCAGGCACTGTGCCCATCAGTTTCAAAGGAGCCATAGGAAGGAGAATGGGCAAAACCCAGGTGATGGGCGCTGATGTGGGTCCTGCAGGTGGGCAATGAAGAAGCCCCTGCATTTACAGGCCAAATTGTCTTATTTAGCCAACAAAGCCCTTAAGTGCTGGGCACTGTTTGGAGAATTTTTACAAATACTAACCATTGTTTTGTTTTTTAATCGGGGAGCACCACCAAACACTGTCCACCATGGGTAACCATTCTAACATTTGACTCATCAGTGTCACAGCAACCCGATTAAAACAAGCCTGGAAGCAGGAGTGGCATCCACTTCTGAAATAGCTTGCCTCCGGAAACCCTATGAACCTGGAGAAAGGATGAAAGTTATACAGGTGTCCAGGTCTTTCATTCATAGTGTTGCTATGAGTCACCTATGACTCGACGGCACTTAACAACAACAGCAGCAGAGAGAGAGAGAGAGAGAGAGAGAGAGAGAGAGAGCAGTTGGCCCAGCAGACAGAAAGCCATGATCGCAAGCCAAAGGTGGGTGACTCTACTCTGCAGCCCTCAGATCTGCCTTTAATTGTTTTTGGTGAAACATTCTTAGAGGTTGTATAGCCCTGGTCTGTCCACTTGCTGTAGAGAGTAACTCGTGGTTGCTGTGAAGCCGAACACTGTGACACTGATGAGTCAAATGTGAGAATGGTTACTCATGGTGGACAGTTTTTGGTGGAGCTCCCTGATTAAAACAAGCTTGGAGGCGAGCTCTGGTGGCCTAGTGGCAGGAAACTGCACTGCAATCCCAGAGGTGTGCGGGTCAAATCCACCAGATGCTCTGCTGAAGAAGGAGGAACAATCGCCTCCTGTACCAGTCAGATCCAATTAGACAGTACACACATTAAACAAACAAACAAACAAACAAATAAATATTATTTTTTTAAAAAAACAAACAAGCTTGGAAGCAGGAGTGGCATCCACTTCCATAATAGCTTGCCTCTGGAAATCCTGTGAACCTGGAGAAAGGACGAAAGTTATACAGGTGTCCGGGTCTTTCATTCATAGGGTCACTATGAGTCGCCTACGACTCGATGGCACTTAACAACAACACAACAATAACTATTGTTGTTTTCAAGACAACCCTGTTGAGTCAGCTCCAACTCAGTACTACAGAGCTGAATGAAGCCTTGTCTGATCCTGCATCGTCCTCAGTCGGCTGAACTTGAACATGTTCACAGTACAGCTGAACAATGAATGCCTTGCCTGATGCTGCACCATCCTCACAGTCTGCTGAACTTGAGTGTGCTGTTGCAGTTGCTGTGATAAACCCTCTTGTTAAGGGGCTTCCTCTCTCATTGCCATGGAGTCAGAACCGACTTACCGCTGACTCCAGTGAATTTTTCTGAGGCTGTAAATTGAGAGGAGATTGCTCATCTTTCTCCAGCAACGCTGCTGGTGGATTTGAACCAGCAGAGAAAAGGAATTAGCAGCACAGCTTCTGGTGACTTTGGCATCAGAATTCCCTTCCTCTCTTTAGCTTATTCTTTTTTCCAAGCTTTTGAACATTTTGTCTTTTTCTGTTGACCCTTCTCCAGGGAGTGGCCCTCTGACAACATGACCGAAGGTAGATCTATTTGTTCTTCTGACAGTCCATAGTCTATTCAACATTCTTAGCCATCTCCACAGTTCAAGTGCCATGGAGGGCATCCTTATTCATTATCCAATTTTCACATGCATATTGAAAATACCATGGCTTGCTTGAATCAGACACACCTTAGTCTTTGATGTGATATCCTTGCTCTTTAACATTTTAAAGAAGTAGCAGCCAGTTTGCCCAGTGCGCATTGTACACCTTTTGATTTTCTGACTGCTACTTTCATGATGATGATTGTGGATCTGAGGAAAATGAAATCCCTGACACCTTTCATCTTTTCTCCACTTCCCATAATGTTGCTAAGTGAAGAATCTTAGAAAACAGAAACTTTGATTAAAAAAAATCATTTACCAGTAAAGATGTGATGCTGGGCTCTCCTGCGGCTGTGGCTGGGCTCTTTTGTGTAGCCATCTCACACCTTTGGGCATGTGGCCAGAAAGGACCAGGCCTTGGAGAAGGACATCATGTTTGGAAGGGTGGAGGGACAGCACAGGAGAGGAAGACCCCGGATGAGATGGATTGACACAGTAACTGGGGTAATGGGACAGGTGTGCCAGAGACAGTGACATTAGCTCAGGCTTGAGCATGGTTCAGAGATGCTGTGCATAGGGTTTCTGTGAGTTGCCGTCAGTTCGACAGCATGTAACAACCACCACCAGTATAGAGGCCCAGCCACTAAGAGGTTAAGTACCTTGTCACACGGAGTGACTGAGAGGATAAAATTAGGTTTGTGCTTTGAACTTGGCTCTGTTGTCTTTGGATGCAGTAGACTTGGACCATTTTGCCTACAACCAAGTCAAAGGACCTAACTTTACCCTAAGAACTGGAGTGGAACCCATTTCCTAAACAACATGCTACTGGAAACTCTATGGACTTTGAGAAACGATGGTAGTTATAGAAGGGCTTCAGGCCTTTTGTTCATAGGGTTGCTATGTGTCGTGCTTGACTTGACGGCAATCGACAACAAGAAAAAGCTAGAATTAGTTGGTCTGGTTTGTTGTTAGGACCATCACGTCAATTATGACTCATAGTGACACTTTGAATGATGATTCATCTTGCTCAAAACCACAGTCAACACCGTTGGCACCAGCAGTCAGGATATTAAAGGAGGAATTGCACTAGGAAAAATCTGCTGTTAAGAAGGATCTCCAGCCTGAGGGAAGCCGAATATCAAATTTACTAATAGTAGACCAAATGCTATATCAGGAAATGAGGGAGGGAGGCTTAATACAAGTTGAAGGTCACCTTGTGGCACTAAGGTGTTCCCTAAGAGTCAACATTGTTCTTAGTTTGTATCAATTGAATCCCTTGCTCCTGAGATTAGCATAAAGAGAAACTTGGCCTTATCTGTAAGAGACTTCACCATTATACTTTGTTTTTGTTTTGTACTTCCTTATGATTTTACTTTGTTTACCTTCCTTATGATTCTAAATAAATACTCAGAGAAGCATGGCTTGGGGCCTTCAGTCATGGGAACTGTTGCCCCCCTATTTTTCACACTCTCTATTCTATATCATTCCTGGTAGTCTGTCTCATTATTAATAATTATAAAAATACTTTACCCTCGGTGTGCAACACCAGCCCAATAAAGAGCAATGATGTCAGTCTAGAGACTAAGGTGTGCCTGATCCAGGCCATGGTCTTCTCAATTGCTTGCTATACATCAGAGAGCTGAGCAATGACTAAGGATGACAGAAGAATCAATAGATGCCTTTGAGTTGTGGAACTGGAGAAGAGGATTGAGCATACCTTGGACGGCTAAGAGAACAAACAGATCTGTCCTGGAGAAAGTGAAATCACTTTGTTCCTTGGAGGCAAGGATTTTAAAACTCCATCTCACATACTTT